AAAGATATTATCTCTGTATGTTCCCTTTGCCTATAGGTTTAAAAATCATGATTGAAAAACCCTCGAGGAAGATCATTCAGAGACATCCCCTCCTAATGAAAGGCTTCCTGCTAAGTGTTGTTAAAATGTTTTATACCTATAAGATATTACAAATATTTCATTGATTCATGTAGAATATAAGTAATTTAAGACTTCATCATCACACTGAAGTTTAACAGTGTGCGACTCCCTCTAGTGGACGTTGTGGAGTATTCTGTTGTCTTTGCTCCAAAGGTTTTTGTACAGAGTTTTGGTGTTTCCTGTCACTGTGGGCTGCAGAGCACAGTAGTACACAGCAGAGTCAGACACTGCAGCAGAGGAGATCTGCAGATTCACACGTTTCTCTTCTTTATTAATGTGAGCTGAGAAAACTGAACCAGGTGAATGAATCGATCCACTCTCTGTGATGGAGAGCAGGAACTCTGGTCTGGATCTCTGGTATTGTCGGTACCACTTGATATTGGTGATGAAACCCTCATATTTACAGGTCAGGTTGATGTTTCCTCCCTCTGCAACATGTTCTTCAGGACTTTCTGGCGTTATGCTGTTCATGGAACCCAGGGCTGCAAAATGAGTGATTCATGTCAGTTAGTCTGCAAGAGATTCTAACATCAAGAGACTCAACGGAGGTTCTTGACTTTCTGGATTCATTCAATAAACCAAATGTCTGTTTCTATCATGGAAGTTGTTCCCTTCCACAGAGAAACCTCTAGTTCTGAAATGTAGACCAAATATCTGGTTAATCCAGCAGGTTAATGAGCCTTTCATCTGTGTTCCAACACTCACCTATGAAGTGAGAGCAAAGTAAAAAGAGGTAAAGCAACATGTCTTTGGAGTTGTTAAAGCCAGACAGACAGCAGATGAGCAATGTTCTTCCACTGCAGTAGAATGAAGAAACTAAACAGCCTCTCTGCTGCACAGCCCTTCTCCTCAACATCAAGCTGATTGTGCTTTTAGTTCCTCAAACACTTGTGCTCTGGAGACGCAAACAATCTCATTGGTTGAGTTGGACTTCAGTGGGCGGGGCCTGTTTTTGAACCACCAACGTTAAAGCTATTAAAATATTTGTGCGTCCAGCCGATGTTTGCTTCTGGGAAATGGATCAAACTGAAACTGCAATGTACTGTCATCATTGTTGTCCACACTGGAGAATGTGATGAAGGAAAAAACAGTAATAACATACAGCAAGGGTCGGCTATTAAACTTTGCATTGGAGCAGTTTATTCAACCGTTAGTTTGTGGGTGAGAATATGACATAATATTAGAAGTCATTGTTATGGTGTTGGGTTAGCTAGGTCGGTAAGGTGTAGGACTGTCACTCTCTTCAACAAATGGATTCTGCAGCGAATGTTTCTCCGATCACAGCGTGTGCTGCAGTGTTTTTGTTTTGGGGTTTGATCCTCATCCATCAACCTGGACTGGACTGTCCGCCTGTTTAGACCTTGGCCTGCCTGAGCTTGCTGTAAGTCAGTGTACTCTTCTATTATTAAAACCATAAACCTGAACCTGCCATGTGTCTGGTTCTGGGTCTGGCCCACTCACTTGTGTTCCATCACCCGCTTGAACTTACTATGACACAAGGATATTGTCTTCGTATGTTCCCTTGACTACTAGAATTTTGTGGAAAAGTTCATTTTGTTCTGTAATTTAAGTCCAAAAGTTAAACTTTCATGTATTGTAGGTTAATTACACGTAAAGATAAACTTTTCAGGCCTTTTTAAAAATCTTGATGATCATCTCACAGCTCATCAAAAACCCATATCTCAGAATATTAGAACAAATAATGAATTGTGGACCTGAGAAGAGCCTTTAATCTCTGCCTGGTTCAGACGTCTGACTTGACAGTTGTCCAGAAGACACTCATTGTCCACAAGGAGCCACAGAAGGTCACTGCTGAAAGGGCTGGCTGTTCACAGAGAGCTGGATCAAAGCACGTTCGTGGAAAGTTGACTGGAAGGTTAAAGTGTGGTAGGAAAAGGTGCACAAGCAACAGGGGCGACGAGGAGCTTCACAGGGAGTGGACTGAGGCTGGAGTCATCGAGATCCACCAGGCACAGACGAGTCCAGGAAATGAGCTTCATGTGTCGCATTGCTAGTGTCAGGCCACTCCTGAACCAGAGATAGTCAGAAGAGTCTTACCTGGGCTAAGGAGAAAAAGAACTGGACCGTGGCTCAGTAGTCCAGAGTCCTCTTTTAGATGAAATCCAGGTCCCAGTGTCTGGAGGACGAGTGGAGAGACACAGAATCCAAGTTACTTTAAGTCCAGGATGAAGTTTGGGTGCCATGTCCTCTGCTGGTGTTGGTCCACTGGGTTTTATCAGTAAAATATATTAAGAGTCACTTAAAGTTATTAATTATCAGTATTTGTCTTATTTGTCCTCAGGACTAAAATGTCAAGTTGTATAAACCAGTTTATATTTTAGGAATAAAAGAGCAGTGGAGAGAGAGGACGTCCTTGGTGTTTGTCTCTCAATTTGTAGAAGTTTTAGGATTTGTTGTGTGATTCTCTCTGAAAGTTTAAGTGTGTGACTCCCTTTAGTGGACGTTGTGGAGTATTCTGTTGTCTTTGCTCCAAAGGTTTTTGTACAGAGTTTTGGTGTTTCCTGTCACTGTGGGCCTCACAGCACAGTAGTACACAGCAGAGTCTGTCACTGCAGCAGAGGAGATCTGCAGATCCAGATGTGTTTTATCATCTCTCACTTTAGCAGACCATCTAGAGTTTGTTGCATTTTTTGTTCCAAAGTGTGAGATGAGGAACTCTGGTGGTTTTCCTGGATGTTGTCGATACCAGAAGAAATAATCACTACCAGTTGCTTGTTTAGAGTATTTGTAGGACAGAGTAACAGAGCTGTCTTCTAAAGCGAACTCTTCATTCCTGACTGGAGTGAGTTCTTCACAGCTGACACCTGAAGGAAGAGATAACTCTGTAACTTTACAATCTAAAGGTTTCTATCAGTGAAGCTCTCTTAATGTTGATGATCTCACCTACCTCTTATTGTGAGCAGAAACAAAGTCACAAACAGACTGAAGTTCACTGACAGCATCTTAAAGAGAAAGAGAATCTGTCTGGTTTTGATCAAACACCACTGTGAAAGTTTGTGTCTTTTCTGTCCTTGAGTCCCAGTTTTGCTCCTCCCTTAATCCCTCCCTCCTTCCTCTCACAACTCTGACAAATAGTGAGTTTGTCTCTGCTGTGGTGCTGTTATTCACTAAATGACATAATTTCCATCAGGTAACAAGTAGCTGATAAGGTAACACTGATTGACTCTTTGCAGAACATGTGAAGGTCCTGACTGAGGTCAGTCTTTACACAGACGATATACTACTGTTACTAGTATCTACTTCTGATTCTGTACCTGTCTGTTGCCTTATGATCTATTGCCTACCTGGTTAAAATAACAGATTTGCACATATATTTTCTGAACTTTTATCTTCTGTTGTTTGAAGTTATTGCTGAAGATTTTAGTATCTAAATTAATGTTTCAATCAACTTTTGCTACAGATTCTTTAAATATGTCATTCATTTAATTTCATCCAGCATGTGTCTGGTCCAACTCATAACCGTGGCCACACATTAGATTTAGTCTTTACTCTTCATCTGAGTATAGATTCTATTGTCTTGTTTCTCATCACCTTTGTATCCATGCTGCCTAAGACTAAATTGCATGTCTGTTGTAAGAAGTCAAAAGGTCCTTCATATAAATAGCAAACAATTGAAAGCTGCAAGAGCCAACTACTTCAGTAACTCCTCACCAGTAACCAGAATAATCCTAGATTCCAGTTTAAAACCATTAGACAGACTCATCAACTCTGCTCCCCCTGCCTTACCAGCCTCTTCAAATGCTGACTGTCAACTGTTTTATTATCTTTTTCTAAGTAGAAAATCACTGACATTAGGTCTAACACCTACTACCACTGTTGTTGCTGATATTTCTTATTATCCTGCCTGTCCTGAACTGCTCAGCAATTTTCAGCTAATTTCTTTTCCTGAGCTCATCGATACTGTCTCTCACATGCTTTCCTCTTCAAGCCCTCTTGATATCTTAGCCACATCCCTCCTAACGAAGGTTATAGTGGACGTCGGCCTTTGCTTACCTCACGTTATTAACTGTTCCCTTTCTTCCTGCCGCATCCCTAATTATTTTAAGCAAGCCAGCATTCAGCCTTTATTTAAAAAGCATAACCTTGATTAATCTCTTCCACAGAACTATAGACCCATTTCTAAGCTTGCTTTCATATCCTAAGTTCTTGATGGTGCTAACTCAACTCTTAGCTGTGTTAGACTGGGTTTCACAAACTTCACATTACAGAAACCGCCCTCATTATGGTTACATACGATTTACTGATGCCGATGCTGGGGAGTCACATGTTTTATTGTTGCTCAACCTTAGTAATTCGCTTAACACTATTGATCAAATAATTGAATTTCCTGTCTCCATTGGTACTTATGTTTCATCTTACCCTCTGCTGAAGTGTGGGGTGGCTCAGGGATCTATTCTTGGTCCCATTTTGTTTTCCTTTTATATGCTTCCATTAGGAAACATTATCAGTTATTATAAAAGAGTCTCTCATCACTGCTACGCTGATGATACACGTTTACTTGTCCTTTTAGCCAGATAACATTAGCTGTCAATGTAATGGAGTTCTTGTTTGTTATTGCGAAATGGATGACTTGTTATTTTCTGCAGCTCAACTCAAACAAGACAGAAATAATAATATTTGGCCCTGATCACCTAGTAAGCAAACAGCAACCGTTTATTGGTCCACTGACAACCAATTTAAAACGTTCCACCTTAGAAATATTACCAAAATAAAATCAGCTATGTCCTTTATCTTTTCACACCTGGACTATTGCAGTGCACTGTGTGTGACTCCCTCTAGTGGACGTTGTGGAGTATTCTGTTGTCTTTGCTCCAAAGGTTTTTGTACAGAGTTTTGGTGTTTCCTGTCACTGTGGGCTGCAGAGCACAGTAGTACACAGCAGAGTCAGACAGCTGAAGCTTCTGGATCTTCAGAGGAACTGATTTTGAGGTGGAATCCAGTGTGGATGAAAATCTCTCCTTGTACTCGTCTGCTGTTTTCCCTTCGTCCCGTTGAACGCGGCTCAGTATGAATTCAGGGCTGTTGTTTCCATCCTGTTTGTACCAGAACAAAGTTGGATTTGTGCCACTCGTCTCAAATGTACAGCCAAGTGTTACTGTCTCTCCTTCAGCAGCAGTCACGTCTCCTTCTGGTTGCAGCACGTTGTCTTTTTGTGCTCTGCATTCTGTAAAACAGCAACAAACAGTATCAGTGTGCTGTTAAAGAATCATGTCAATGTTGGATTGATATCAGAGAACCAGAGTTGTGTTCATACCAAGGCACACAGCAGCCAGCAACACTGAGATGAACAGAGGCGTCATATCTGCAGTGTTGAGGAACTGTGAGCTCCAGCAAGTATAAAGAAGGCTGTGATCTCTCTGTTTAGTCTTCATCAACTTGATCAAGTTGGTGGATTAGAAGGAGGAGCCTGATCACAGTGACGGGGCTCATTCACAGCCCTGTGTTATTCCCCGACTGACAACTTTACACTCAACACATTTTCCTCACTCTCTCCTTTCCTAGTGTGACAATTAGGATCAATTAGTGAATGTTTTTAAGATGGTATCAGCATCATATTAAAGGCCTGTCAGTTTGCCAGCCTGTCCACAGCTTCTCCAGATAAAGGGCTAAAATATGAAGCCTGTTCAGAACACATAAGGATCTCCAAAACCAGCTCGGTGGTGTCAACCATTTCAAACAGGATGTTCCACTGAGAGCGAATGGTTAAGAGCTGCTACCACCAGTTTACCACAGTGAAAGCAGAGGCTTCAGCAAACACTCCCTCACTCCCACAATGGGGCAGTCACGTCCTTTCTAGACTCTTCCAAGGGCTGATTTAGGTGCTTCGATCTCTGGAGCTGCCGCATTACTGACAGTGAAAGCAGAGATGCTTGTGTTAATTATGGTTGGACATCTCCCCCTCTAACAAATGAAGGCAGTCTGTGCAAACATGGAGCTTATTCTGTCTCCAAACACTGGTGTGAAACTGGTCATGACTCAGGCTTTGGAGTGAAACATTAAGGTGTTTGCCCATCCTTGTCTGGATGTGAAAGTGCAGTGGGACTCTGGCCGACGTTACATACCAGCTTATTATTATTAAGTTATCAAACTTACAGTCCATAATTTATTGTCAGATGTATTTGAACTTTTTCTTTAGTGAGTCTTCTGGAATAAAGAATCGTCAAGATGTCTAAGAATTTTATTCTTTACAAAGTGTCAGACAGAAGTATTTCCTTTCCCTCAGTTCTGGTTTATATAGCATAGAGCATATCTGCCCTAAATGGTAGGTTTCGTCTCTTTTATTCGATTTAGCAGGAAACCTATTTCAACCCATTTATCAAATTGTCCCATAGATGTTTTATCTTTCTCAGTCGTAAATTTTATAACTGGCAGAAGGATTTTAAGAGCGGTTTCCCACTCAGTTCTCACTTTACTCCAACATATCCCTTATTTGTTTCTCTACGTACCTGTACCTTCATCTCTGGAAATGACACTTATGCTGCCGTTCAGTGGTGGACAGTAATTACGTACATTTACTCAAGTACTGTACTTATGTACAAATGATTATATTCTGTTCATGCCACTTTTTGTGTCTCCACCAAACTCAGACTGAGAGATTGTTCTTTTTTCTTCACTACAACAGCTTTTGTTACTTTACAAAGTAAGCATTGTACTACATATGAAGAGTTTATAAAATATAATGTTTTGTAATTAATTTAATTACCCAACAGTTTATTCAAGCACAGCTGAAACAATTAGTTGGTTGAAAAAAATGTTTTTATTGGCAGCTGTTTTGATCATTTGTCATTTTTCATGTCAAAATATTTCATTGTTCCAGCTTCACAAATTAATTATTTAAAAAATTTTGATGTAGTGTTAATAATATTGAGGTTTGGATTGACATGAACAATTTTAGGCCAATCTCTCCCTGCTCTTTCAAAAATCTTGAAATCATTAGTTGCTATCCAATCATATTTGGACTTGCAGAACATTTGAAATTAAATACAATCCGGTTTCAGGTCAGTGCATAGTACAGTAACCACCACTTTAAAAGCTATGGATGACTTCAACGAGGCTATAGATAACAAATTTAGCTGTGTATCAATGTTCAGAGAACTTACGGAGGCCTTCGGTACTGTGGACCATCCATCACTTGTTAATACCCTGCTGAGAGCAGGCATTGGATGCGAAGCGTCTAAATGGTTCCACAGTTACCTGACCAATCATTCACAAATGGATAAACATGGCAACGACATGTCAGATCCAGTCCTTGTTAGGAAAAGTGTTCCTCAAGGCTCAGTTTTGGGACCCTTGCTTTTCCTAGTTTACATTAATAATATTTGATGTTTAAATTCTGTAAGGATCATCTGTATGCAGATGACACAGTTCTGTACTCCTGTGCCCCCACAGCAGAGTTTGCCTTTTCAAATGTGCAGGCAGATTTTTATACCCTGCAATATGCTCTGTCAGATATGAAGTTAAATTCCCACAAAACTAAAGTTATGATTTTTGCCACTGGGCGAACAAAGGTACCACCCCTCTACATCACGACCCTGTATGGAGTCTGTATCCAGTCTGTTGATAATTACAAATATCTGGGAATCTGGTTTTACAAAAAAAACTAAATTTTAAATACCATGTTGATTATCACGTTGACTTTTCTGTATAGGTGAAAGTCCTGCTTTTCCATGGCTTTAGAAAAACACTTAGTTGCTGGCCTTTTTCTGCCACAGATTGATTATAGGGACACTACCTACAGGTTTGCCTCTCTGTCCACCTTGTCCAAACTTGACCCCCTTTATCACTCAGCTCTCAGATATACATTATTGTATATTGGACAGACTGGAAGGATGGTCATCCCTTCACTTGCAAAGATATGTTAGGTAGACTTCCAAATTATTTAAACAGGACATTTTTAACTTTACAAAGCAGTCATAATCTCAGGTCACATAATGGGCTACAGTTCAAAGTGCCTGCTATCAGAACCAGGGCAGGTACTCAAAGTATAAAAGGGGCACATGGAACAAGGATTTAAATAGGGCTGTTCTCAAAATATTGATACAGAAATATATCGTTATGTATTCCTTGCTGATATGCGTATACTGATGCTTCTGTATTGATACATCAGCGAATGGTATGACACAGTTTTGAAAAAGAAACACAGGGAATACCCAGCTCTTGCTTTAAACACTGTGGGCTGTTGATGGTGTTGCTGGGGATGTTGCTGCTGATACTACTGGTGGTGATCTGTGACTATCGATATTATAACAAACTTAGGAGATATTAGCTGATTAAACAAATATGTGACCATGACAAGATGTAAAGATTGCTGACAGTATTTGGAACTGGCTCACAGTGACTGACCTGCTGTAGTGCTGCAGCCGCTGCCAAGGCTGACTGCTACGATAAAATAAGAGGGAGATGGTCACAGAGACTGCTGCACACCAAAAGCTGCAGGTAGAGGAAATAAGATACCAGGTTCAAAACTGTGTGGGAAATAATCTGAGAAGGATACAGTACTGGGAGAAAGGACGAGGTCGGCCAAGGCAGGGTTAAGAGTGAGACAAATCTATAGACAGGTGTGTGCGTGTGTCTATAGGCAATATTTTGATAATGATATATTTCACTGTGAAATTTGGAATTCTTTATTACATTTATTTAATCTTTTCTAAAAAGCATTCAATATATAATATATTTTCATGTCTGCCATCTCCTTTTACATGTTGCTACATCCCGAACCCCATTACCCATAAACGTGAAATAAAAACAAATAAAGGAACAATTACTAAAATAACTGACAATGAAAATAATAATAATTTGAAAACCTTTCAAAACAATTATTATATTTGATTCTATTCTGAGTTTCCACTGGTTGTCCTCTGTTTGTGGCATCCATCTATCTCTCTCTTTCACTGTCTCTCTTTCACTCTTTCACTATCTATGTCTTTCACCATCTCTTCAGTATCTCTCTCACTGTTTCTGTCTTTCACTATCTCTTTCACTCTCTTTCACTATTTCTTTCCCTGTCTCTGTCTTTCACTATCTCTTGTTCATTATCTTTCACTGGCTCTGTCTTTCACTATCTCTTGTTCATTATCTTTCACTGGCTCTCTCTTTCACTCTCTTTCACTATTTCTTTCCCTGTCTGTGTCTTTCACTATCTCTTGTTCATTATCTTTCACTGTTTCTGTCTTTCACTATCTCTTTCACTCTCTTTCACTATTTCTTTCCCTGTCTCTGTCTTTCACTATCTCTTGTTCATTATCTTTCACTGGCTCTGTCTTTCACTAAGTCTATGTTTCACTATCTCTTGAGTATCTCTCTTTTACTATCTCTATCTTTCACTATCTCCTTCACTATTTCTCTTTCACTGTCTCTGTCTTTCACTATCTCTTTCACTGGCTCTGTATTTCACTATCTCTTTCACTATTTCACTATTTCTTTCCCTGTCTGTGTCTTTCACTATCTCTTGTTCATTATCTTTCACTGGCTCTGTCTTTCACTAGGTCTATGTTTCACTATCTCTTTCACTATCTCTTTCACTGTCTCTGTCTTTCACTATCTCTCACCCAAAGCCTTAAAGCCAACCAACCCCGTGACATTGCAGGTTATAGTACTGCACAATGGTGGCGCCCTTTCAGTGAAAGATATGACAGTTCTTCTTTTCTTTTGTCTTTTATACGTTTACATTTGTCATGTTTCTTGTATAATTGTTGATCGTAGTGGAAATCCATTGTGTAAATGATGTAAACTTGATTGACTGCTTCATTTCCCTTTAAGGTCTCAATGCCATCATTGTTCCAAACAAGTACAGTTTTACTTGTGCTGTCCTGCTTTTGAGCAGGGACTTGTAGGTGGGAATTAAACAGACATTATGGTGAGAGGTGCAAATGGGGGTTTAGTATTACAGTCTACATATTGCTTCAAACCAGGCAGCACAGCTTAAAGCTTGCAATGGTTACAGTCACCAAGCATTTCAATTGTCTGTGAAAACAATCTGCTGGAGTACTATTGGAGATACTTTGAAAATACTATGAACATATTCAAGTTCTGTTATTTGTTTATTGTGTTTTATCTGTAGTGCTTCATTTAATGTTGCTTCTATCACCACTAAAACAAATCCTGACTATATCATAAACCACTGAAGTTTAACAGTGTGTGACTCCCTCTAGTGGACGTTGTGGAGTATTCTGTTGTCTTTGCTCCAAAGGTTTTTGTACAGAGTTTTGGTGTTTCCTGTCACTGTGGGCTGCAGAGCACAGTAGTACACAGCAGAGTCAGACAGCTGAAGCTTCTGGATCTTCAGAGGAACTGACTTATTCTTGATTGTAGCATTAAATCTGTCTTTCGTGAACTCTGCATCAAAATCTGTTGTTTGTGAAATACATTTCAGCATGTACTTTGGAGACTCATTTACTACTTGTTTGTACCAGAACAAGTAGGGGTATTGGTCACTAGTCTCAAAAGTACAGTCAAGTGTAACTGTGTCTCCTTCAGCAGCAATGACATCTCCTGCTGGCTGGGTCACTCTGTCTTCTCCTTTACACTCTGGGGAAGAAGAGAACATGCAGAGGAAGAGATGGATCAATAAAGATGATTGATTAAAGGAGAACAATCAGTAGGTTTAAAGAGTTACCTAGCCAGAGAGTCAGAATCAGGATGTTTCTCAGCCAGTGGTTCATGTCTGCAGTGAGAGGGGAGGAGAGAGAGGAAGAACATTGATACTCTGATGGATCTGGGCCTTCACATCATTGGCCCTTCCTCTTCATCATCTGTTGAGGAACTCTCAACATTTACATCTCATTTACATCTCAGCTGTTTAGCTGATGCTCTTATCCAGAGCAGCTCATAATGAGGAGCTTTAACATGTGAACTTTCTGTTACAACAAAGTCTCTTTAACCACTTTTCACCCTGGAATAGTTAATTCATCAACATGGGTCTGTAATCATTTTAGTTTGTCTCATCATCAGTGATACCAAAGCATTCTGTGTAGAAGAAGACTTCCTTGTGGAGTGCCTTACTGTAAAGAGATAGCTGTTGTGTTTTAGTTCTATTGTAACTTGTCATTAGATTGTGTTGTCAGTGTCCACTTGGTGGCGCTGCTGTTCAGTAAAAGGAGGAACCAAAGTGAGTAAATCTTCAGAGGAGCTGTCAGGTTTTTGTACAGAGTTTTGGTGTTTCCTGTCACTGTGGGCCTCACAGCACAGTAGTACACAGCAGAGTCTGTCTGCCTCGACAGCAGCGACGTCTTCTCGCCTGATGGGATGTCAGCATGGCTGCAGATGTTTACTGAATCCAAAATCCAGCTGTCTGGGCTCCTGGCACTAACATCAGATACAGTAACTGGTCACATTACTCTTTTTTTGCCTTTAAACGCCTCCAGCCCGCCACCTCGCCATCTTCTGTATGGGACAGTTGGTTGGTGTTTGCAGCTCTGCGCTGCCCTCTGCTGAACTGAAATGCAAAACACACGTTCACTTTTTCTCCTGTGTTGTGATTTGATTTCATGCAGCGTGGGCATTTATGTAAGTCAGTTATTAAAGACAAAGAGCTCATAACTGTCCTTTTATAAGCTACCATGCTTTTCATTTCAGTAAGACAGTAAATGTATGGATAAAAAGACATGAAACCAGGTGTGTTGTGTTTCACTTGTTGTGGGGCCGGGCTACATCATTAGCATTAGCAAATCTCTCTTAAAGGGGACCGATTGTGCTTTTCCATATTTTCTGTCAAATGTTCATGTTAAACATGGCCAAAGCTTCTAATAGTATAACAGTAATAGTATTCAAAAGAAATCTGACTTCACACGGTCTTTGTGGATGCTGTCATTTGCGCACAGCCCCTTCCTCCCCAGTGTGTCTACACCACTGAGCCCATGATGACCTGGTCTGGTCTGGTCAACATAGTGTTAGACTAGTCTAATGTAAGTTCGACTGTTTCACAAAAATAAAACGGACTAAGTTTAGACCAAAAAACAATTAGACACCTTACCAGGAGCCAGTTTCACACAGATAGACTTTGACTATGGTTTAGATAGCAGACAGACTAAATCAGATCATTGCACACAGGAGTGAAGATCCTGACTATCTCACTGTAAAAATACTCTGTTACAAGTAAAAGTCCTGCACTGAAAATGTTACTGACCTGAAAGTATAACCGGGAAAATGTACTTAAAGTATTAAAAGTACTGAAGCAGAATGTCCTGTTATACTATTACATATCAGATTATTCCTCACGCATTATATAAAGCGGGGTGTAACTGCTGTAGTTGTTGAGGTGGAGCTCAGTTTAACTAGTGAACTAATGAAGCGGCAACGTCTTTGATGGTTTTTCATGTAAAAACATTTGATGGTTCACAAACATGAAGCTTTGCTGCTTTTCCTTTGGATTATTTAATGTATTTGTAATAATGTTGAGCTCTTGTGCCGCTGGTCAGACAGAACAAAGCGTTGTGACCGCATTTCTCACTAGTTTCAGAGTTTCTAAAAAGCGTTTAATGGAGAAAATCCTCAGCAGATTGATCCAGGATGAAAATGATCATCAGTTAGTGAGCTCCTCCTGAATAATCTAAAGATAACAGCAGCAGCAGTGAGTACTTTTACTTTTAATACTTCAGTAACATTCTGAATGCAGTACTTTTGCTTCCAACATGAATACTGATCCTGCATCAGCCTGCGGGCCCCACAGGGCGTGGGGACCTTTAACTCTCAGAACAACGCAGCTCATTGGCCCGCGGAACCAGGTGGCCTCCAGCCATCCAATCACAGGCCCGGATGTTGAAGCGTCGCCGCCCTGGTGCTTTTCAGCAGGAAGAATCTCCGCCGTCTGTGGAAAAAGCGACATAAAGGTGTTTTTCCTTCGAGCGGAGAGTCCGGGGCCCTTCGCCTTCACCTGCCGGGCCAAACACCTGAAGCTCTCCGGAGGCCCCCGGAGGAGAAGCTAACCGGGCAGCTCACGTGAGCCCGGTGCCGGCGACAGTCAGAGGTGAGCGCCGTTAGCATTAGCATTAGCATTAGCTCCTGGCGGAGGACGCGCCGGATCCAATGCAAAAATCTGTCCATTTAACACTTCCCTGTTTACCAGGACCCGCGCACGCGCCCCAGAGAGGCGGCCGGACGCCTGTTAGAAGGGCGTGTTGTCTTTGTAAACTCGGCACGTGATGCATCCGCCGGCCTCCCGCAGTGAAGCGGTTCAAGTGTTCTCACTGGCCGTTTGGCGGTGTGGAGTTAACCGGTTGGTCCGCGTGAGGCTGTGTGAAAATCTGCAGGATCCATAACGCGCCTCCTCTGGAACATCATGCGAACACGGCAGATGTTTGGTTTGAGGTCAGCGTGGCAGAGAAGCTGCAGTCAGCTGGATGTTCAGCTCTCTGTGAGCCAGAGACACTAAAACCATTTTCACCTGCAGCAGATGAGTTGGTGCGCTGTGGAGAGCGCGGAAAGTCCTGATCCCCTTGAGATCAGCAGCGTTACTTACTTTTGAGATAAGATCCGAGCAGAGAAGTTAAATGACTGTTCCTGTTAGACAAAAAGGATCTTTTTAAAGACGGCTCTCTCTCTGCAGGGATCTTTTTCATAAAGACTGTCAGACAGTCAAAACAAGCTCTTTAGTGGACGTTTCAGACCTGTTTACCTGCTGCGTAACCCTAACGCACAGACGAGCTGCATGAATAATACCGGGAGTATTAAAAAGAAAAGGATCTGCAGGGACTCTTTGTGTAGAACTTTTATTGCTGCAGCCAGACAAACAGTTTGTTCTTCCTCTCTTTAATATTTGTGTCATCTAGTTTTGTTATTTGCTCTCGCTTCAGACCATCTGAGCAAATAAAATGAAATCAAACTGGAGCTGTTTAAAACAAACGTAGACGCAGAAACGCGGGGGGGGGGGTTGATAAAAACAGAAGTTCCCTTTAAGGTCTGTGAAAGCTGCTGATTGGCTTGTGTGAACGTGTGCTGCTGCCGTCCTCAGCTGCTCCTTGTATGGGCGAGTGAGGACCAGCCATGAGCGCGGAGCCGGACGCCCTGGCCGTGGTCACCCAGCTGAGGGACCTGGCCGCCGACCCCATGAACCGCAGGGCCATCGTGCAGGACCAGGGCTGCCTGCCGGGACTCATCCTGTTCCTGGACCACCCCAACCCCCAGGTGGTCTACGCCGCCCTCCTGGTGAGCCGCCGTTTCTTGCACCTGAACATCAAGTTTGCTTCGTCCTGCTGCCGTCTGCCTAACTGTGATTGGTTGTTCCCAGGCGATCCGCTACCTGGCAGAATGCCGCGGCAACCGGGAGAAGCTGAAGGGCGAGCTGGGGATGATGCTGAGCCTCCAGAACGTCGTGCAGAAGTGAGTCTCTGAGGAGAAGCAGCCACTTTGATTTCTTACGCTTTCATTTCTTTCTCATAGTCTGACTCAGTTACTGCGGCTGGTTTAACCTCCGGTTCTCTGGTGGGGACTAAACGGAGACGACCGAGTCAGACGCGCTCTGTTGGTGCAGCTACCAGAACTCTGTCGCGATCATGCGCTGGTGCCAACAGGAAGTAGCCCTGTAGTCGCATTTTACTGGTCCAGAACTGGCTTCATCAGTGACACTCTGTCCGTGTCGGGGAAAATAAGTCTGCCAAATGGTTTTAAAGCCGGTACACGGCGGGCCAGAACACCTTCTTTCAAATCCTTAGTTACTCGTGTGCACGTTTAGCTCAGTGCTGTGCAGGACTCCCGTTGGGGGGGAAGGTCTGATCGATCCCCATATAAGGACCCGTTTGCACATGCTCACAGTAAAGCATGTGCAGAAGCGTGCGTGCGTCCCGGCGTTTGACCCGGAATCCTAAACCTTCTGAGGCGTATTTTCCCTGAGGAGGTTCAGGAGAATCATTGACTGGCGGCTTGTTCACAGGTGCGTCCAGCACGCCACAGACTCTTGAGTGGCCTTCACAACTTTTCAAAGTAAAAGCTCTCAATTAACTCAAGCATTGCTGCGAAAAACACGTTCTGGCGCTTTTATTTTGTTGGCAGAGTCGTATCTGTTTCAGCACCAGCCGCTATCTTTTGATCTTGTTTATTTTTCTGCTATCAAAGCGATCAGCTCTGTGGCGCCGTTTCAAACCAGACTCACCAGAGGAAGCGGTCCAGTCGGGGGGGGTAACGCGGGAGAGACTGTCAGAGCGAGAGGCGTCAGGTGGTTTACTTTCTGTTGGCCGGCTACTTCCTGCTTTGTGGTGTTTGTGGAGTAACTCTGGTTCTGCGCTCCAGGTCGACCACCCCCGGGGAAACGAAGCTGCTGGCCTCTGAGATCTACGAGCTCCTGCAGGCGTCCGGCGGCGCCGAGTCCGAGCCGGCCGCGGGGGCCGTCGGCGGCAGCCGCCGCAAAGCCCAGTTCTTCCTGGGCTCCAGCAACAAGAGGGCCAAGACCGTCATCCTCCACATCGACGGACTGGACGACTCGGTGAGCAGGAAGCCGCGATGGAGACGCCACTCGCTCCGTGTTCGGTCAGAGGCGTCGGGCTGCGGACGGGATGAGACGCTGTGCTGAGGTCCAGCTGTTCTGTCTGCAGGGGGTTTAAATCAGCATGCTAACACCATCACACGGGCCTGTTTAGGAGCCAATAAGAGGACAGAAAGGTCAACGCCGTCAGAGCCCGTGAAGCTCATCGGTCTGTTGTAAAGTGTCTCTGCAGGCGAATCAGCTGTTAGCAGTTGGCATGGAGATACAGACGGACGTTGTGCGCCGTCTCTCTCTGGTTTCTAAGATCCTGATGTCCTCAGAAAGAGGAAGTCGCTCTGAGTCAACAGGACTGATTTAGAAGTCTCTGACTCAGAGTCACCTCCTGCCAGCAGCTTCACCTCCCCTTCAGGTCCACGGCGCCCCCGACGAGGCCAGATCCTGTCGGTTACGGGGCCTTAGTCTAAAATCAAGTTTTAGTACAGACGAGCTCAGTGAAGTACGGAAGCCCTAAGCGGCCAGACATTCATTCATTTTATTTACTCCATTTTCCCGTCCTGATGGGATAACAGGACAATACTGCCATCTGCTGGTTCCCTAGTAAATCACATTAAGCCTGTGGCAAAGAACCTTGGTGTTTGGTTTGATAGTAATTTAAATTTCGAGCAGCACACCACAAAGCTTGTTCAATCATGTTTTTATCAACTTAGAAATATAGCTAAAATTCGATCTATGTTAACTTTTAAGGACACCGAGACCATTTTACACGCCTTCATCTCATCACGCCTGGATTATTGCAACAGCCTTTTCACCTGTTTAACCCAAAAATCTATTGATGGACTCCAGACTGTCCAGAACTCAGCTGCCAGGCTTTTAACCAGAACAAAGAAATATGACCACATTACTCCTATTTTAGCTTCATTACACTGGCTCCCAGTATGTTTTAGAATTGACTTTAAAATTCTATTGATCACTTTTAATGCTCTTCATGGCCTCTCGCCTTGTTATATTTCTGACCTTTTAGTCCCATACGCACCAGCACGTACCTTGAGATCCTCGGGCAGAGGTCTGTTGTCTGTTCCAGAGTCTCGACTGAAAACTAAAGGGGACAGAGCGTTTGCTGTCAGGGCCCCGAGGCTCTGGAACAGCCTGCCCGAGGAAATCAGGTCGGCTGAGTCAGTGAACTCTTTTAAGTCCCTTCTTAAAACATACTTTTATAGGAGAGCTTTTCCCGATCTTATTTGACTTTATTTTATCCCTTTTATTTTATTCTATTTTACTAATTTTCATGCTCTTATCTTGTTTTTTTGTATTATTCTTTACACTTGTTAAAGCACTTTGTAACTTGTTTTTGAAAAGTGCTCTACAAATAAGGATTATTATTATTATTGTTATTATTATTATTACAGGCACCAGCCAGTCAGAGGGCTCCATCAGCTCCGGACTATAACCTGCAAAGTCCACCGACTCCGGAGCTGATGGCGGCCGTTCTACTCGATGAGTCCACCAGAGGAACAGAATAGGTAGCAGGTCTGTTTTTGACGAGCAGCACTGAGCAGATGAACCGGGCAGGAAGTCAGACACATAGAGAATCCGGTCAATTTTCAAAATAAGACGCCCTGTGCAGACTCCCGCTCGTAAAACAACAATAAACACAGTTAGAACGGACAAAAAAGAAACTACGTCGCTACTTCATCAGTAGATGCGCAAAAAGCAAGCGTCGATTACCAAATCAGGAAAAGCCCAGCGGCTGTTTCAGAGGCGTGTTAACAAGCCACAGGCTCACCCCCCCCCGCCGAGGAGGCCTTTGTTGTCCTGCTAAACAGGCCAGATCCTGTGACGTCACCAGGGGACAGATTTCCTCCCTCCGTCCTGTTCTTGCTGTCTGAATGGACCTTCAGAGTTTCTTCCTCAGCTCTGATGAGATCTGAGGTTTAAAGTATTAAAATAGAGGAAGCAAACTGAATAAGACTTTCTGTAACTGGAACTTTCTGTTCCGTGCTTCCTCCTCAGAGCCGGAGGAGTCTGTGTGAGGAGGCTCTGCTGAAGATCAGAGGAGTCATCAGCTTCACCTTCCAGATGACCGTGAAGAGGTGCATCGTCCGGATCCGGTCCGACCTGAAGGCCGAGGTGACGCTTCACGGACTCCGTGTCTCTGTGTGTCTGCTCATCATTTCTGTACGAGCTGATAATTTAGCCTCTTCAAATGAGGACGGATCGTTTGAGTCTTGATCTAAAGTGACGAGCTCGTTAAATAATCCTGATCTGGTCACTTAAAGTCCTCATTTCTTCCAATCACAGACCGAAGCTCTGGTTTCTGTTTCAGGCTCTGGCGGCCGCCATCGCGTCCACTCAGGTGATGAAGGCTCAGCAGGTGGTGAAGGGAGAGAACGGAGACGAGGTCAGTTTGTTCACAGGTTGGGGGGGGGCAGCTGATGAAGCTTAACTTAAACTTTACTTAATGTCTGATTTCTCAGAATCAGTAAATGCTGATGAATAATTAATGAATAAAAGCTTTATAATCCTGTATGAATGAAACATGTTTATATTTATGTGCACAGGCGGATTCTAGCTGATCCATTAATAAACACTCAGATCCGCTAACAGCTTCATTATAGTTTATTAACCTGTTATTATATGATGTAAATTATAAATAACAGGACGTAGTCGTCCCTGATTTCCATCCTTCCCACCAGGAGGGGGCAGCAGAGTCCTGACCCTGAATAAGAAGCAGTGATTAATCTCAGCTAAACATTTCTTTTCTTTATCTTGGAAATCTCTTAAAGATTCTCCAGCTTTATGAAACAAAGTGTCACAACAATCAAACCAATAAATAAATGTGGAAATATGTGCAAGAAATGAATTAATAAAAGAATAAATACGCACATTTGACATTTAATTTATTTCCACTTATTTTTTATTTACTTCCATATGCATTATTTCCCAAACTGTCAGTCAGCTTGTTTTGGCCCCCCCACTAAGTCAGCTGATGACTGATACCTTCTTAGTGCTGATACGCTGAGCCTGGAAGTGTCTTATGATTAGCAGGAAGTTTGGAGGTTTTGCAGTTGCCACTTGAACTCAACATTAACTTTTTGCCACCAAGAAGCTTGCAGTGGCCGAATTAGACCAAGAGCTGAGACGGGAACCTCGTCAAGACATTTTAAATCTTGCTCAGCGCTATCGGATCTTAAAGGAGTCAAATGGTGTCACTACTGAAAGAGAGACGTACCTTACACCCTGAATGCCTTAAAACGTCAAAACAAATATTTATTTGAGTGGTTAGTCGGACTTTTGGGACGTAACAAAAGGCAATAGGGAAATATATATGGAAATAAATGGATACATTTATAAATATATGATTATAAATACATATGAAAATAAATAAATAAACATTTTTCCTATTTCTGGATAACAAATTTATAAATGGAAATAAAAGAACAGATCACTGTGAAAATACATAAAATGTGAATGTTTGTCTTTTATTGATTGTTGTGACACTTTGAGTGATCCGTACAGAGAGATCTGTAAACTCCGACGTCCCAAAGAGTTTCCTTTCACAGCTAAAACGCAGCGCTGGTGGAGGAAGAAAGGCCTTTGCACATCAAGTCTGTATTTGTAGTCTGAAATTGTGGCGTGTTTAAAAATAAAAACAAGCTGATGTTGAGTCATCAGGTTTTAAACACCGGTCGTCTGACAAAGTTTATTTTTTGTGTCCGTCGGAGGCGCCGCATCATTTCACGACTCGGACAGCTGCTGTCTGCAGGTTCGGTAGTGATAATCAGGAGGAGGAGGATCAGATGGAGGACGAGGACAGCTCAGCCCGGGCAGAGACAGGTTCCTCCGGTGAAGAGGAACGAGGTTTATCAGATGACAGATTAAATAAACACACGTGAAAAATACGGACTTGGTGTGCAAAGGCCGGAACCGACAGCGTTATCAGACCCGTGCTGAAGTCCTGAAGAGTCCGTTTGTCTTTATGAGACTCATAGAGGTGCATGCAGAATGAAATGACCGCTTCCCTCAAGTCCAACAAAAGTTCTTGTCTTCAGGTTTTGATCCCGTTGGCGGAGGACGGTTCGGTGGAGGTGGAGCGGAACCTGGAACTGCCAGACTACCTGCCAGAGGACGAGAGTCCATCTCAGGAGCCCGACAAGGCGGTGACCCGGGTGGGATCCACCCAGGACGGGACCAGCTGGCTGGGCGCTGCCACCAACTTCCTGACGCGCTCCTTCTACTGGTGACCCTGCGATGGCCACCACCCCCCTCCCCTTAAACCCCTCCTCTCAGAACTGGAATCTACCTGCTGCCAAAAGATGAAAGCGCGGCGCCGTTATGGGCGGGAGGAGCCGACCCTCAAAAAACCAAACCGGATCCTGGTTTTAGTTTGAAGTCTGTCTGTAAGCGGGTCCATCTGTTCCAAACCAAATTGTCTTAACAGGACGTTTCCTGCAGCGACATAAACAAACACCAACGAGTTAGAATGAAGAGGACCGACAGGATGCCCTTTCAGCTTTTTATTATTTATTTTCCCGACAGACCGAGCGGCTGTTCCTCCGGCAGCGGCGTTCAGTCGGCTGTGCCTTCAGGTCCTCACTTCTGTTTTTTCACCGACGAGCTCATCGTTCAGTCAAAAATAATGACAAATGCCCAACAGTCCTTCCAGTCAGGCGTCCAGATAACATGATGCTTCATTAAACTTTGTGACATCGGAATCGCTGGAAACCTTGGATCAGCTGGGGATCAATAAAGTTCATCTGCTCCTGATCCCGGATTTAAAAATGGTGATTAAACCGTTGCTTCAGATTTGTTTGACGTGTCCTGATGGTTCACCTGCCAAAAAACAAACTATTTCCTGAATTCCTTGTTCAGATTTTCCAGGTCTGCCTTAATATGATGTAAATATAAACTATAGAAGCTCGCAGGGCTAATTTGTAAACTGCTGTAGCTGGCGAGCTAACCGCTAACTTGTCATGTGTTTACGTCCCCGGGACAATAAGACGTTATTAAAGGGGGAAAATAACGCTCACAAACGGCCAGTTAGCAACTCGTCCACTGGGATTCACTGAAATGAGATGTTACCGTTTTAAACCCTGCTGTTCCAGGTTAGTCCGGCAGCTGCCAGGTGGGACACCTCAGGCCTTCTTATTGGCTGATGGAGTCAGGTGACCTCGTGTGATGCTGAGCCGGAAACACCCGTGGGTGTGCGGAGCCCGTAAAGGTGAATGAAACGCCCGGTGGTGGCGTCACCGATGTTGGCCATTTGTCATTATTTTTGATAAAGTAAAAATTGTGCGTCGGCGCCTTCCTGTAGCGTTACTGCTGCTGTGCATTAACGTAGTGATTATTTATGGGCACAGGCCGCAGGTTTGATTCCTCCCCACTCCTGACAACAGACTTATTACTGACGTTTCCTCCCCGGATCGACGACAGAGCGCAGGTCGTGGGGTTTCTGGACTCGGTCTTCATGTTTACACCCGTACGAACGCCTTGAAGATCAGACTCCGGCTCCACATCCAGCCGCCGCAGTATTCCACGGAGCGATGTTACCCGAGTTTCTTTTGAGTGTCTTTTCTTTCTGGTGACAGCCAGAAGGTCGACTGGGATCAGTTTTGTGACCGTTTTGCACAGTTTAATCTGCAGTTGATGTTTGGGGATGGATTAGAAATCTGCGTTTGGGGGGAAACTTTCAGTTTGCAGCAGGATCAGCAAGTGAATCCCCGTCTGAGCGTCTGGCGCTGCACGCTCTGAGCTTCACACAGCATCAAGCAGACAATCGTTTATTACTGACTTTATTTAAATCTTCATTCCCTTTAAAGCTCGTCAGTGTTTGAAGCAGAGCTCACGTTCCCGTTTCCTCTGAAACATCTGCTGTTAGTTATTTATTAGCCAAACAGAAGAAGAAACTGACCGACGCTTGTTTTATTCCAGCAGCTGAAATGTTCAGATTTGTCCTGATCTGAAGCTGAGCGTGTGTCTTCATGTACCCGCCAGGTGTGCTCATAGCTCCGCCTACACCACACGCTGTCCAATCACATTCTGAGTAGCCTGTTGTCAGATGTTAGCATGAGGTGAGAGAGCCTGAGTCCCTCCCTTCCGCCCCACGAGACAATTAATGCTCTGATCCAGATTGTGTCCTGACATGATGTGAAGACGTATTTTCAGTCTTAGACTTTCTTTTCTTTTTTAAATGATCTTTTAAACTGACAAACATCGTGTGTGTGTGATTCAAACTGTAGTCGTCTCGCGTTGTTGACTACGGTACATATTGTTTTCAAAATAAGGTCCCATGGTGGTCCACCGGAAGGGGAGGGGCTTCAGCTCTTCATTGGCCCGAATACAAGACAGCACTGATGACGAGATGTAAAATGCTGCGTATGAGCAGTTAGAAAGTAGCTAGCCTAGCAACATTAAGCTACAGACGACCCATAAAGCACCGGGGCTCGCTGTGTAACGCGGTACAAAACGGCAGAGCTGGTTGTGCCGTCGTGTTCGGGCCAGCGTGAGAAGCGTCTTTGACTTTTTGAGCTGTTACATTATTAAAGGTCAAATTGTTCCATCACACTGAATCATGTTTCTTCATCTCGGTGAACTCTTGTACCTGCATGAACTGATTTCCTTCTTCCACTCAGGTTATATTCAACTTTTATTAAACAACTAAGTTATTAGTTTTGTGTTTTTTATTCATGTGATTTCTATTGAAATATTCCCAGAAACCTGACGCTCCTCCTCTTCCTCCTCCTCTTCCTCCTCCTCCTCACTGTGCTGCTGCACAAACAGTGATAAGAGCTCAGACAGCTGATTGTTACGCCTTCACATGTTTTTAGATCATTGAAACAGATCCCGTTTGTTTTTCATTCCAGTTTCACATCAGATCCAGTAACTAAAGCAACATCAAACAAAAGTATGAGACTGAATTTAAATGAACAATAACGAGACGAAGAAGCCCAGCAACAACATATGAAACACATAACGCCACAACAACACTGACTAACACGAAGATCCGCTACATTAAAACCACAAAATACACTGAATTCATAAACACAAATCCAACGAGCAGAACGGGCAACAATAAATATGAAACATAACCTTTAAAACCAGCGAATAGAATACAAATAACACAAGAAGATGTTGATTTATTCTAACTTTAATCTCAGAACTCAGACTTAGTCTCTCCTCCCTGCTCTCTCTAGTGAGTTTTTTGTAGAGACAAAGAACTGAGCTCAAATGAAAGCAACACTTTCAGACACTACTGCGACCGTTTATCTCAGCGCCGCCAATTACGTCATTGCTGACAATCGGTTGGTGTTCTAGGGCTCTGCGATGTGACAAAAAATTCATGTCCCGATAACGATGTGGATCCCAATACAGAACATTTCATGTAAATTCAATGAAATATGCCGTTTCCAACTGTAACTCTGGATATTTCTCTGCTTTATAAATGTGGGGTGAACAGCGACAGCATGTTACTAATGTTAGCTAGGTTGTAGGTTAGCAAACTGATGCTACTTGTTGCTGCAAAGCTAACATCGCAACAGCAGCACGACGTGGTGAACCAGACCGTAAGCTGAATGTCCGTGGGCGAGTCATTTAACGTTATCTGGCTGACGCACATCATGGCTGCCACTGCTGGTTAGTGTCGTGTGGTTGTCCATTATCTTTAATGCAAATTTCTTCTCCCCAACACCGGAGTTTTGTATGCCTGCCGAGAATTGCACGCACCACCAAAAACTGCTTTTAAATGCTATAAAATCCTCTGTGGGGTTCATCAATGGCGATAAATGATTCAAAGTATATATTTTGTGAACGTTTAGAGTCGTTAATAATTTATTACACTTAAGCGTTTGATCGATGGGCCCAGCAAAGTGTCTGAAAAGGCGCACAGACCGCGGTGAAGTCGCTTTCAAGCTGGATATTAGCTTTACGTTGGACATCCAGCGTATGTCTTTGTTCCGACGTAGATGTTCAAATCCAAAGTAAAACTAACTTCACCGCGGTGCAAAGCGACGTTCACTCAACAGAATATTAGGTAAAGTGTGGAATTTGCGACACGACAATATAAAAGATGGAGCATAACGTTTGACCGACCGTCATGTCGCACAGCCCCATGGTGGACTGTTAAATCTGTCGGCACGTTGCTTGGTCCTAAACGTGGCTTGGTAAGTGACCATCAGTTGTACGCTACTTTTGAAAATGCATTCTGGGATACTTTGACTGTTTAGGGTGTAATAATTCTTACTATACATTCGGACAGCACTACAAAATGGCGAATTCTGACACATGCTGTGTTAGACGCATTTCGTAGTAACGCTACTTAAGTTAAAACTAAATAACTCAACATTTACTTGGCTTAACACGGGACTCGAACGCCGTTCTCCTGAACACAAGTCCAGGGTTTGACCCATCCTGCCTCCTTACATGAACTTTATTGCGATTTATAAAACGTCACGAGACTTTCTCCTTTGCAACCGGCCACTAGAGGTCGCTGCCACAACAAACTAACAAGGGTCGTAATAAGGTGCTGCACAAACAACCTATATTGTATTTTTTCTGGCGACGAGAGTCTCGTTTGATTCATCGATCCCGGTCGGGATGTAAAGAGAATGAACGTGCTTCCCAGCTTTAAATGTTACATGACGCAGTTTTAATTATTACACTTGACTTGATAACAATAGATAACTAATCATCAGCGTACAGGGAGAGATGGGATATCTGGCAGGAATGTTGTAAACAATAAAGAAATCTAAGAAAGTGTCAGCAGTTAAATGAGACGTGTGTTTGAAGTTGAAAAAGCACCTGGAATTAAAGCTCAGCTGTTGAAAACATATGTAACCGTGTTGGTTTTGAATTTTACAGGCTTTAATTGGAATTCCTCTCAGGATTATGTGGACACAAACCAAAACACCTGAACCTGTTCCAACACCACCTAGCATGATCTGCCTCCACGTGCCCAGAGCCACGCCAGGCATTCAGCTGGGGGTTTCAAATCATAGAAGACACTAACAAGATTATTATCCGACCAGTGAGCACACGTTTGATGTCAACTTTCCCAAGTTACTTGTGTTTTTGGCTCTCAGGAAATATTTAGGATGTGCCAGGTTTTAACCCGTTTGTTGGGAATTGGAAGTGGCAGTTTGGACAGTCTGAACGGATCAGCTGACAGACCTGCAGGAGCTGCTGCTGCTCCCGAGCAGAAAGAAAAGTATGAGAGTAGTAAATAAACCCATAATACTGGCTGTTTCTCTGTGTGACGTGAATGAGGCTCATTGAGCCGCGAGCGTCTGCTCTGGCTACTGAACGCAACAGAAGCTGAACGGAGGTTTTTGTTCGGGACTGAAAGCCGAGCCGGTGGTTTTATTTCAGACAGAGAAAGAGTTGAGCTCCGGAGAGAAAAGCTTGTTGTTTGACGCCTGAATGCAGCTCGTCACTGAGAGGTTACTGCAGTTCATTCAGAGGAGGCTGAAGAAAACAAGGAGGCTGTAAACGCCTCACGCAGCACTCGGCAAAGACTTTCAGAGACGCTCCTAATTACATACAAAGTTCCCTTTATTTCTTTTTTGCTTCTAGTTCTTTCATCCCTTTCTTCTTCACTTTCCTATATTTATTTCGAGTAAGTTTGACCACAAGAGTCCACGATAGTCGTGTTTGCACCAGGATCTGGTCTCAGTCCAGTGTGCCTCAGTTTTCAGGTTGGCTGTGGTTTTACTCACCACACGCAGCATGTTCTGATTGGACCTGGCAGCTTGTATTTGGAATCAGTGAGACTTTGAGGCGGAACAAAGTCCCTCTGTAGATCCTCCTGAAGGGTTTTATTAAGTTTAACATAGATAAACTTTGACAGACATCGTGTGTATCGTTGTGTTTTTAGCTAAAGTTAATTCACGACACTTGTCCCACTTGTGGTTTATAGTTCAGAGATTTCAGAAGTTCTGACGGGGAGTCTCAGATATGTAACCGCTGTGGGGTCGTCATCAGGATGCTGCTCGCTTCATTAGTGCTCCTGGCTGTTGTGAGTCGCTCGAGTCACTTAAGGGTCAAGTTTGAACAGCTGTCATTGTCACATGACGCCAAATGTTTGTTCAGTCTCCTTGGAAGAGATGAAAGAACAGCACTGAAGGTGGAGGATAAAGCTACAAACACGTTTTAAACTGAAAACGATCTCCGTCCTCACAAGCGTTGCATATCAGAATAGATCTATCGTCTATATTAAAACAGCTAAAAAACGCACGTCACGTGACCACTGACGTACACTGAGCGCGCCTGCCGACGTAAACAGGAGTTCTGGTGAAGTCCGGCTTGTGCTGCAGCAGGTGCTGGTCTCTGTGAGGGGGGTTCCTGTCTCGTACAGCAGAGTCCAGCAAGGCCAAAGTGATCAAGATTAAAACAAAATATTTCCCCTTATGTGGAATGAACCTGGAATATCTGAAAGTTTCACTCTTTAAATGAAGAACTTTGCACCTGTAGTTACACAGAGTTAATCAAAGCTTGTTGGTTCACTACTGTTTACTTTGGAAAGGAAATGCATTACAAGTTGCTGATTTTTAGGATTTCACTGTAATTAACTTGAGAAATTACTGGTCACAGGGTTTTTATTCCTAAACAAAAGGTTCTCTGATTTACGATAAACGTCTGCTGGCATGTAGGTGAGAGTTTTAACAGACCAATCAAGAGACAGAAACATCTGATGCCACCTACATTTGCATTTCCTTTCTCAGCTCAGGAAGACAGTGTCTGCTTTGTTTTCCTTCGTCGTTTTTCGTACTTGCTCTCCTGAGTGGCCACGTTACAGAAAGAAATGATTCAACACATCTATTAGACTCCGTATTCTTTTATTTATTTTCCCTGACGCTACATTGCATGAGTTTGAACATTGTATCATCACGGAAAGTTTTACTTTTAGGTTTCCTGCTTTGTTGAACCTTTTTTCTGAGGAAAAAGTGATGAAGTCACAGAGCTGTTTTATTAATCTCACTTTTCACCAGAAAGACGTATTTCTGCTGAAGAGAGTGACGTGGAAACCGGAGAAGGTTCAAACCATGTGAGAGGCTTCAGTCAACTCCTGGGTGACTTTGACCCTGATGACACAGGCAGGACGGCGTCTGAGCCGCGAGTCGTCTGGGTGAGCAAACAGCTGATTCACAAAGCACAACAAGAAAAACCCACAGTGTGAGGAAATGTTCCCTTCTTATAGAAACTGAGTCACGGTGACTTGAAATCACACCCAAACACGACGTCCGCTCTGCTCACTAAGAGAAGAGAATCAGGGCCTTCAGCTTCCAGGTTAGAGGAAGATGACGCCGTGATTTCAAACCTCAGCGCGTCTCCAGGCGTCTCCAGGTGTCTCCAGGTGTCTCCAGGCGTCTCCAGGCGTCTCCAGGTGTCGGGGAGTTCTCCTGCTCATGTTTTAAAGGGTACAGAGCCTTTAGTGTCTCAGAGCGAGCTCTCTGAAGTCTTATAAATGTCCTGCACAACCACCCGCGACTCGTCACATATTGACGCTTGGTCAAGGCCCTCTGGCTTGTGGACGCCCCGGACGCCCCGGACGCCCCTGTAGCATCATCTTTAGATGTTTAAGGCCTTATCGTTTCAAAACATCGCCATTCTGAAAGGTTGCAGTTTGGTTTAGGCAACAAAACTACTTGGTTAATGTTCGGAAAAGATCCTGGTCGTAAGTTAACTTTTTTGTTTCACGCGTGACACAAACCCTGCTGTCCTGGTTCAAAGTCCGGGTTCTGGCCCTCCGTCCACCTCCTTACTAAACACCCTATACCTGCCTTAACTGACGCTACAGGGTTTCCCCCCCAGTGCGTGACAAACCGACGCCGCTGGGTCTCGACCACGCGTCCGTATGTGACGAGTCAAGTTTTAAGTGAACTTTTTACAGTTTGCTAAAAAGAAAATGCGAACTGAGCACGTTTCCTTCGACGGGTTTGTAGCAAATAAGAATAAACCAGGCTACGCGTGGGCGCGTTCAGTCAGCGAGCAGCGGCCATGCTTGATGCTGAAGAAGAAGAAGAGCATGTGCGGTGAAAGCTGGCTGCGTCAGAGCGCTTTCTGCTGAAGTGTGTAAAGTGTTGTCACCTCAAGCAGCAGGAAAACTTCAGTTTCTTTGAATTTTGCTGTTTGTTTTCTAATACTTTGAAAATGTAACCTTGGTGGAAACACGACTAGAGAGAAGTGAGCTTCGTGTCAAGGAAGAAGAAAGTGACCTGGCTCTCAGCCTGTTGCTCAATCAGTGTTTTCTTTGTTGTCACGCTGAATGTTTGTGCAGTCACGCGGCGGCCTGAGCGAGTCCAGACAGCGTTACAGGAGGAGTTCTTGCTCAACTGCACATTAGTTCACACGGCCAGCTCAGCCGGTGTGCACCTGCGACCTTGTTGCAGTTACACCTGATCGCAAGGTGTTCAGCTGCTGCACTCACGCCCACGTCGATCCTGATCCACACACAGATCACGCGGGAGCAGCAGGTGCGGGTGATGAAACATCAAAGCGTTTCAGGTGCATGACGGTTCATGACGCCAAACGCAAAGCATGACTGACTGTGAGAAACTTGTTAGTTTGGCAAGTGAGCGCACAGCCGTGAGCCGCCGTGCATTTATATCAGCACGCATCAGGTAAGAAAAAAACTGATGTCCACAGATTAACAACAAAATGAAACAAACTGATCAGCAGGTCGGACCAGAGGGTCCCGTGCTGCTCGGTACGAGGGAGCGCTCAGGGGTCGAGGTCTTCCCCCATCTTCCTTTAATGCGCTGTGAATACATAAAAATATACTTGAGGAAGTTTACTGAAGAGAAATGGCGCCGAAGGCCGGGTGTCACTGTGGTGTATATCCAAGGTACCAGCAGCGGCGGCCTGAGAGGGCGAAGCCCGTACGAGCTCAAGTGAAGCTTACAAAGATTTGTTACTGTGAGCTTCATGAATATTAACGAGGATGGAGCTTTAATGAAACATTAAATACTCTCAGGTATTGTTTAGTAGTTACAGTTTTTTAAAATAATATTTACTCCCCCAGAAGATTTTGAGCATAAAACTCTTAATTTCCTGAATTCTGGAGACATTTCTGCACCGATTTATGGTGGAAATGTTTTTATTTATATGAAGGGAAACACAAAATTCATGTGGCCAGTGACAAATCAGAAATGATGACATACTAATAATAATAATACTACAGTAATCAGCAGCTGATCTGTTTCTTTGCATGTTTTCCTCTTGTGCAAGAAAACCTTTTCTTCTTAAACATTTCTGTGTCCCCGGCGCGAGTGACACTGTGAGTCTGGGTATCGAACTGTGACGCTGCACGACGGGTCAGATGTTGGTGAGTTGAACGGCCGAACACGCCCCTTTTATGTGAACGCGCACCAACTCCAATTAAGTTGTAGTACCGTTTCACTCCAGAGGTCAGAGTTTGTTACCCTGAGTTAACTCCAGGTCTCTGGTCTCTGGTCTCTGTTCTCTGGTCTTTGGTCTCTGGTCTTTGGTCTCTGTTCTCTGGTCTTTGGTCTTTGGTCTCTGGTCTTTGGTCTCTGTTCTCTGGTCTTTGGTCTTTGGTCTCTGGTCTTTGGTCTCTGGTCTCTGGTCTTTGGTCTCTGGTCTTTGGTCTCTGGTCTCTGGTCTCTGGTCTTTGGTCTCTGGTCTTTGGTCTCTGGTCTCTGGTCTCTGGTCTTTGGTCTCTGGTCTCTGTTCTCTGGTCTCTGGTCTTTGGTCTCTGGTCTCTGGTCTTTGTTCTCTGTTCTCTGGTCTCTGGTCTTTGGTCTCTGGTCTCTGTTCTCTGGTCTCTGGTCTTTGGTCTCTGGTCTCTGGTCTTTGTTCTCTGTTCTCTGGTCTCTGGTCTTTGGTCTCTGGTCTCGATCAGACTGTATTGATGACGTCAGTCTCCCGCTGAGGACTGTGGATCTCTTGGTATCAGGTCGGGACAGCACGAGCTTCTGCAGAGCAAAGAGGACTGATGCAGGCGGAAACGAAACCTGCCTTCACAATAAAAGCATCGCCTATGCGGGACAGTTGCGACTCTGGGAAAGCAGAGTGGTGATTTTGGTTTTTGCGCCGTAATAAATATGTAGTTAAGTAAACAGTCAGTTTTCCAAACGTCCCAGCTGTGTCTGATTAGTAAGCCTAACCCCAGCGGTCATCATGGTCAGGCCTGCTGCTCGCTGTGATGTCATATCTACTGTAGCAGGTGTAAATGCTCAGCTGCTCAGGGACCGGGGGGGGGGGAGCTGTGCCTCATTGGAGTTCATGTCTTATTATGACGCTCCCTGTTGAATCAGCCTATAATAGAAAATGTAGTAGTACTTTACAGCAGACGTGTCCACTCTCACAGTCAGCTCACTGTGTCACTCAGCTGTAGGTGCAAAAGAATCATTCACTCAGTTTGGGAAAGCAGATTTCATCCAACAGCGTCGGCGCGTTGAACCGGTTACTTTATTTTACTGAAGTCAAGCCAGCACCTCGCGCTGTTTTGCGATGCGTGTTTCTTCTAGGCATTACGGTAACACCGTGTCGCAGCACATTTCAAAATAAAAGTGAGCTTCTGCTGAATATAATGCAGTTGATGTGGCAGAAACTGTTGAATAAATAAATAAATGCTTAAGACACCACAAGTATCTAAAGGAAATATTACAGTCTCACAGAAAGCTTACTGCATTCAGCCAAGATTCAAACTCATGTAAGAAGAAAACCTTCTGTTTCCAGAACTCATTTCACTTCACAGGGACAGCAGACCACCTCAGGGACACCCTCTGTCAATATCAGAGCAATCTGATGTAGGTTTTTGAAATTACAGCCCTTGAAAATGTCTAATATTTTCACTGAATTTGCTGATTTCAAATTGACGTAAAAAGAAAACGTCCTGTTTCCACTGGCTCATTTCACTTCACAGGGACAGCAGACCACCTCAGGGAGACCCTCTCTGATATTGACAGAGGGTGTCCCTGAGGTGGTCTGCTGTCCCTGTGAAGTGAAATGAGTTCTGGAAACAGAAGGTTTTCTTCTTACATGAGTTTGAATCTTGGCTGAATGCAGTAAGCTTTCTGTGAGACTGTAATATTTCCTTTAGATACTTGTGGTGTCTTAAGCATTTATTTATTTATTCAACAGTTTCTGCCACATCAACTGCATTATGTTCAGCAGAAGCTCACTTTTATTTTGAAATGTGCTGCGACACGTTACCGTAATGCTCAGAAAGAACACGCATCGCAAAACAGCGCGAGGTGCTGGCTTGACTTCAGTTTTATTCTGAAGGCGGCGGCCGGAAGCAGGCCGTGGGCTGCGCGCGTTGACAGAGCTGCGTGGGGCCGCAGCTGCACTCGGGGTTCGTGTCGGTGCTGCTCAGTCTCCGGGACGGACGCAGGAGGAAGATGTCCCCGCTGCTGCTGCTGCTGCTCGGCCTCCTGTCCCTGATGCTGTGCGTCCTCCGCGGCAGGAAGAGGTCAGTCCGCCCTTTGTCCTCTGCGGGGACAACTGCTGCGGTACAAGTACTGCAGTACAAGTACTGAGTACTGCAGTACTCAGCGGCCGCGTTATTGATTATTGATTCAGCAGAAGATTTTTTCTCTATTAAAAGTAAAAGTAAACAGTAAAGTAAAAAACTCCATCATGAGTAAATGTCCTGCGCTCGCGACTGTTCCCAGCTGCTGGAGTCAAAGTATCAGCAGTAAAAGTACTGAGACGCAAGTACTCTGATTTTAGATAAAATGTCGTCATAATGATGGAAAATTGTGAAATTCTGAGGTTTTGTTCTGAATGGCATCAGTTCAGTGCGTCTCGTGTCCACCAGGTTCTGCGATTCATGTTTTCACTCCAGTTAGTATTTAATGATTTTAACAAATGTTCACTTCCTCCTTTATGTTTCTTTGAATTCGTCTGAAGCACAAATGAATTTTTCTTTTTCTATTAGGATATTTGTTTTGTTGAGGGAGAGGGACTGAAAACAGATTTGATCATTTATGCTGGGGACATGTGGACATGTCCACATGTCCACATGTCCACATGTCCACATGTCCCCAGCACTTTTTGAAAGCATTTGTTAAAAAAAAAGTTATCTAATAAATTAAATTACTTTAAACGTAAAGAAAACATACAAAGCAATTTAAATACAGAAGAAAAAAAGTTGTCCAAAACAGTAAGGAGCTGCTGATTATTGATTTCTATCCTGATAAGTTTTTCACCTGCCAGCTGACGTTTGTTTTTCCCTTCAGATAAATAAAAACATTTCCACCATAAATCAGTGCAGAAAAGCAGGAAATAAGTGTTTAATGCTCAAAGGCTTCTGGGAGAGATATTTTAGATTCTTCAACATGTTGAGCATCGTCAGGTCTCGTCACACAAGTGTAACGTCGTGGCCCTGATCTGAGTCCTGATCTGAGTCCTGACGTCGGCCATGATGACAGGTCAGAATGTTTAATTCACAATTAACCGTCTGGTTTCTACAACTTTAATCAGCCTGTAACCTTGAAAGAAATAATTTGACTTTCATCCTGATAATTTCTGACATCAAACGGCGTGAAATGTTTTTGTCTGTGTATCAAATATCTGCCGAGTGCAGAAATCTTCGGTACCTGCAGCAGTTGTTTGAAGACAAATTGCTGCTGCTGAGGTCACGAAAGGAATCGACAGCAACGATAATACTGTTGTTTTCTGGAAGAACTTGCTGTAAGGACCATCACCATTTAAATTCTGTGGATTTAAAGCACTTATTGCACAGAGACCCAGTCCCAGAGACCCAGTCCCAGAGACCCAGTCCCAGAGACCCAGTCCCAGAACGTGGTCTGACGTGAGTTGAAGACACTCATCACTGAGCTGACGTTGAGACTGTAAAGCGTCAGAGATCCAGTTAAAGAAAAGCAGCTTTCGGTTCCTGCGTGTTTCAGCAGCTGATCGATCAGTTAAAGGCTTCAGCTTCAGTCGCCGCCCCCCTTTGTGTTGAGTCCACCTAAAGTCCCTGTCGGAGGGAAACCTACGGGCTCCTGCGTCGTTTCAGTTTCTGAATCAGCGGTCTGGGGGTTTTAGCTGATTTCAGGTCAGCTGAGCTCTGCACAACCCGGGTGGGTTTTTCCACCCTTAATGTCTTCCAGCTGCTCCTCAAAATAAACACCCAGGAGGTTTCTGTTTTACTTCTGTCTGGGTGTTTATCTGGACTCATCAGACTGACAGCAGTGAAGAAAAAGATTCCCACAGAGCCAAAGCAGAGAAGTTCTGTTACATTAACGTGCGAGCTGGTAGTAGCGACTCTCAGTTCTGGTTTACTGAAGTAAAAGTACTTAAATCCCACTGAGAGAATACTCCACTACAAGTAAAAGTCCTGCATTCAAACCCTTACTAAAGTACTAAAGTAAAAGTATCCTCAGCAGAAGTAGAAGCACTCACAGTGCAGTAAATGTTCCCTGTCAGTGTTTTACTGTTATGAAAGATATCAAACTACACAGAACACACATGAGATGTCTGGCTAACGGGCATGAGGGAGGTTAAGAAGAGGGACTTCCTGTAGCGTCCTTATCACTGCAGAGCTGAAGGAGTGAAGTGTGAGGAGTTATCCTTCACTCCCAGCAGCTTGTGCAGCATTATTAATATTCCTGCTGTGTCAGTGTGGACGTTGTCTTCTACTGCTGCGTTTTGCTCTTATCTCCCGTTGGCCGGTTTAGTCTTCATTTGTAAGATCAGTGTGTTTGTAGCGACGCTGTCCTGTGAGAAGCCAACTTTTAATGAACTCACAAAAACAGCTCTGTTTCCAGCTGATCTGAGGTCACTTTTAATTAATTCAGATTAAGAAGCAGCGTAAATTCCTCACCTTAATCCTTGGAGTTAGTTAGAATGCAAGGTAGTAGCCGTAAGTAAAGCTGTAAATGTAGTGCAGTCAAAAGTACAGTATTTGCCTCTGAGATGTAGTGGAGTAGAAGTAGAAATAGAATGGAAATACTCCAGTAAAGTAAAATAACTGTCCACCGCTGGAGAAAGATCATGCTGGACACTTTATACCGTGAAGATGTGTCCGAGGGGAAACCAGCGGACACAAACATCAGCTTTACCCTAACTCTGCTATCTAAACATATAACGTGGTCCAGACTGAGCGCTGTTCACTTCCTGTCTGCTGCTGCCCGTCAGCATGGCGTCGTTCTCTGAACTTCACCAGGCGGGTTTAGTTTGAAGTGATTCTCAGGTACTAAAAGTTCTGAATCTCTGCAACGTGTTCCTTCACTCAGAACGGCGTCCACATAGAGCTTCTTGTTGCCAGCGACGGTCTGTTAGAGGAGTCTGTTGTGTAACAAATAGGTTAGTAACCTGATGTTAGTGAGTTTAGCGCAGCGTTGGCCATCTAACGTTAGCTTTCTTCTTGCTTTAGCTACGAGCTACCGGAGGTTAACTCAGACTGTCGTTATGAAAAGATGAATGAGCGTTTGTTTACTCGCCAAACTTGTGGTGGCGATTAACGTAATCATTTACGTCCCGCTGGACTCAGCCATGACTTGGACTCTAGCTCAGAGCCATGACTTGGACTCTAGCTTAAAGACTTGAGACTTGACCTGAACTCTAGCTCAGAGACTTGAGACTTGGCCTGGACTCTAGCTCAGAGACTTGAGACTTGACCTGGACTCTAGCTCAGAGACTTGAGACTTGACCTGAACTCTAGCTCAGAGACTTGAGACTTGGCCTGGACTCTAGCTCAGAGACTTGAGACTTGGCCTGGACTCTAGCTCAGAGCCATGACTTGGACTCTAGCTTAAAGACTTGAGACTTGACTTGGACTCTAGCTCAGAGACTTGAGACTTGACCTGAACTCTAGCTCAGAGACTTGAGACTTGGCCTGGACTCTAGCTCAGAGACTTGAGACTTGGCCTGGACTCTAGCTCAGAGACTTGTCTCAGTATCTCTGGATTTCAGAGCCAGACTTCAGCTTCCTGTTAAAACAAAGGGGTCACCAGGGGTCCCTCCTGTCATTTCAACACCAACGGAAATTATTCTTTCCCTTTAACAGCATGTTGGAGCCCAAGAGGGTCGTTGGAATCCAATATCGTAACTAAACATGAGAGAGGATTAGTGGCCCAGCTCTGGTTCCAGGTTCTTACATGTGAGCTGACCCTCTTTGAGTTTTGGGTTGCTACAGAACCAGAAGTCTGATTTACGCCATCAAAAGCGTTTTTCACTGTTTTCTGGTGTTTTATAGACCAAACAATCACCGAAACCCAGCACTTTATCATGAAAATAATCTTTAGTTAGAGAATTATTAGTTCTAGAAACAATCGGATGGTCTGGGATTATCTCACAGCAAACAGAAGGATTGATTGAGAGCTGAAAGTGATGATTAGGACCTTCTGTCGAGTGAGCAGGCGTTCAGCGCAGCTCAGTCGTGCAGCAGGGTGTGAACGCTGGCTGCACGACTGAGCTGCCCGACAGAAGTAATGTGTGTTGGATCGGAAGTGGGTCGGCGGCAGGACGTCCTCCCCTTCAGCTCTCAGGAGGAAAGTCATCATCTGATAATCACTTTGTTTTGGAAGCAGCAGGAAGCTGTTAGTCTGCATTCACAGAGGTTCATCTTCATGTGCTACACATCAGTCACCATAAAAATGTCCCTTTATTTTTACTCAAAGAAATGAAATGTGCAGCAGTGCTGCTGTGCTGGATTGCATTTGATTGTTTAGTTGTTCCTAATAAAGTGTTAATTTAAATAGATCACAGTCTGTACAAATAAAAACAATAATTAATCTCTGATTTATCACAATCAAGCAAAAATGCATCAGAAACCATGTAGAGATTTTAAGACAGATACAGATTTTGATAATGAGAATTTTAATATCCGGTAACTCGGTCGACATTCTGTTTTTCTTCTTCTTTTGAGGAACATGTAACATAAACACAGATAACACTGAGATAACATGACATCATGCAGCTTAAACAAAAACTTTGGTATAATTTAGTACTTGGAGCAGTCACCCGCTCACATCAGCTGATTGCTTTAAAGAGCTGGTTTTCTGCTCATTTTCAGGTTCCTCATCTTATTTAGAGTTTGTACCAGAGCAGGTTTCCATGGTTATATTTTTGTCATACTGCACGTTGCTGCAGCTCCTCTTTCCAGCCTGTGTTGAAGGCTTCGTTTTAGCTATGGAGTGATACATCTTGTCTCTAAATGATCTTTGTTGGGAGTTGCACATGCTCAGTTCCTAGTTAAGGACTACTAGCCAATCAGAAGCAGAGAAGGGCGGGTCGGCGAGAAGCCGGTAAACGGCTCGGGTTCAGCCGTACGTGTTGCCGACCGGCTCGGCAACACGGACTGGAGCGAGAGTTTCAGAGCGGTGAGTTATTAATCTGTATCCATAAAGTTTTAACTGAGCTCTGTCTCTACATCACAGGAACAACTTTATGTCCACTGACTGCCTGGAGGGTAGCTAGTGTTTGGAAGGGAGAGGAGAGCTGTGTGCTGCAGCTCGCTGTTTCTGAGGGCGTGTCCGAGTCGCCGCTCGGCGAGCGTTATATGAGGCGCGTTTAGCTTTCATCCCTGTGACGTCACAGGGCTTTTTCACTTTGCAAACCTGTTACATGCACAAAAAAGACTCAATAAAGGAGAGGGGAAAAAGCCAAAAAGCAGAATAGCACCTCTTTAAAACAGGTGTTTTGTCACCTGGGGAGCTGCAGAGCGCCTTCTGGTGGACAAACTTTGCAACAACAGCACTCGTAACATGATTTTATCCGTCTTCGTCTCTCCGTCTCGGCTCGGACTCTACAACCAAGAAACTAAATGTCTGTTTTGTAGAGGAAAGCACAGAATTGTTCTGCTCAGTGTTGACATCATTTAACACACATGGTTAAGGACACATCATGCTTTTATTTAACTGCTTCATGCTTTTATTATTATAAATGCATCACCTGGAAATCCAAGAAAGCCCCTGAAATAAACATTATGAACTTTAAACGGCGAGAGGGACGGCAGCAGGGAGAGGGATGGACGGCTGGGAGAACCAGCAGCAAGTAAGAAAAGTATAAATGATATGTAACCTGTTAAGCTAGGAGTAGAGTCTGCTAGCTGCTAGGCTAATTTCTGCAGTGTAAAGTGGTGCAGGCTGAAGCTAATACTGGTGACTAGCAGGTTAGAGCAGTTTACTGAACTCAACCTGCCGCAGCCTGGCTCAGAGGGTGGAGCCACCGCTGAGGTTACTTTTCATAATCGTTGGATGCCAAAATGAAATTGGATGCTCTGCACAGCCCTAGTATGACAAAATTAGCAACATGAGCGCACATAAATCAAGCAGCACTGAGCCCCGTGGATCTGTGCTGAGCCCAGAGACGAACAGAGAAAGAAGCTGACATTAAGTAAAATAAATAACCTTAAATCTAAATAAATAAATGTCATGTAAAGCCAACAGGATGCCAATAAAAGTGGAACATTCAGCAGCTGGCTGGTTCCGTCCAGCAGCGTCTGCAGCCAGGAAGCTTTCCAAACCCACGCTCTCCACAAAGACCTCAGTTTTCCTCTGTGCCTCTTAAAGTTGTGTCGAAACAAGTCTCTGTAATATTTTTTTTAACAAATGACAACTTAGAAGAGGAATGTAAACCGAAAACACTGTAATGACTGTGGGAATAGAAAGAGGGACGCTGGTGTCATTTTCATCAGTTCATTAACCCGCTGGCTCCGTTGGCCAGCGTCGGCGTCCACGGCCTCGGGTTAGAGAGTGAACGGTGCTCTGTGTGCTTGTGTTTGCACAGTAGCAACAATGTAGGCAGGTAGAAAAGAGTTCTGTTCTTTCTAACCAGCCACAGCAGGGTGAGAGCAGGGCGTGTCTGAGTCCACAGTAAGTCCAAAGTCCGTGAGCTGATTCCTTTACGCTGGTGAACCGAAGCAGCGCACCGAGAACGTTTGATAAAATATATAAAACAGTAACTGTAACAAAAGGCAGTTTAGAGCTGATCATGGCTTAAAGAAAAGAGTCACTCAAACAGAGTGTGAATCTGATTGGTGGGGGGGTGGAGCAGTGGATAAGATGCATAGCTTGTGTGGGAGACCCAGGTTCAACTCCCCACTGTGACCCACCATTGTGTCCCTGAGCAAGACACTTAACCCCTCGTTGCTGCAGAGGCGTGCGACCTCTGACATGCTGACAGCTGTAAGTCTCTTTGGATAAAAGCTAAATGAATAAATGTGATTGTGTTTTGCAGACGAGACGGCGAGCCTCCGCTGATCAAAGGCTGGATTCCTTTCGTTGGAAAGGCTCTGGAGTTCGGAAGAGATGCCCATAAGTTTCTTGAAGACCATAAGACCAAGTTTGGAGACATTTTTACAGTCCGGATAGCAGGTAGGTGTTAAACACACCCACATACCTCTGATAAAGAGCAGCACGCGGGACAAAGGCTCATCACGGTTCAAAGGTCGATGGGAATGTCAGAGCTCCTGTCCTACTAATATAATACCAGAGAGCAAAGCTTCAAAACAACATGAAATAATCCAACATTATTAAGGAGCAACAGAAACGCAGACTGTGGTTAAGCTAGTTTGTGCTGTGGGAGAACAGAGGGAGCAGCTCTGAAGCTCCGGGCAGACGTACAGTCAGGGAAGCATTTAGGGTGGAAGTTTGCAGGACGGAGCAGACGCACTTCTGAATACTGTCCTACTTTCTGAAAATACTGACGCTCGTTATGAGACGCCTTCCTCACCCAGGTGCACTCTCCCTGCAGGTAAATACATGACCTTCATCATGGATCCTTTACTGTATCCAAACATCATCAAACAGGGCCGGCAGCTGGACTTCCACGAGTTCTCCAACCAGGTGGCGCCCTTCACCTTCGGCTACCCGCCCATCATCACCAGGAAGTTCCCCGGCCTGCGGGAGGAGATCGGCCGCTCCTTCCAGCTCCTCCAGGGAGACGACCTCACGGCCCTGACGGAGAGCATGATGGGTAACCTCATGCTGGTGTTTCGTCAGGACCACCTGGGTGAGGATGGCGGCTGGAAGAACGGCAGCGTGTACGAGTTCTGCAACTCGGTCATGTTCGAGGCCACCTTCCTCACCATGTACGGCAGGCCGGCGAGCACCAGGCGCCACAGCGGCATGGGCGTGCTGAGGGAGGACTTCGTCCGGTTTGACACCATGTTTCCGCTGCTTATCGCTCAGATCCCCATCTGGCTGCTGGGACAGACCAAGATGATCCGCGAGAAGCTGATCAACTTCTTCCTGCCGCACAAGATGAAGTGCTGGTCCAACACTTCACAGTTCATCAAGAGACGAGCGGAGCTGTTTGAGCAGTACGACACATTTAGGGACGTCGACAAAGCAGGTAAGAAGTTTGATCTGGTTACTGTTCAGTTTATGGACAACACAAGTCCTCAACCCAGACCAAAGACTAGGTCTGCTGTGTGCTCTGTGGTCCAGGTCTGGTTCCGTGAGGCTACCAAAGCTTCTTGGTTAAGGTTCAGAAAAGATGTTGCTCGCAGTGAAAGGACACTGACTCTGAAAGGATTGTGAGGAGGGAGGCCTCCATCCTGAAACTGACCGTTTCAGAGCAGGGGGTCTTTGGTTGACTTCAGACTCTGGCTCGCAGTGAGCACTTTAACTTGGCCTGCCGTCAACAGCAGTTTCTGTAGTAACAGTAAGAGAAAACAGACGAGTTCAGCCAAGAAAGGATCGGGTTCAGATCAGCTTTGATTGCTGGCTCAGGTTCTCTGATTGAGAAACAGCTCGTCTCTCAGGAAAACACAATTCTCCTTTCTTATAAGTTTTACTCTTGTAGAAAACAAGTTGCTTAAAGATCCAATGTTCCCATGAGTGAATTCCTTAAACTACGTTTGCTGCGTAAACTGCTTGCTGCTTCCAAGAAGCTGTACAGAGCAGATGTTTGTGAGGGCGTGTCGTTCACCTCCAGGCCACCGCAGAGCCTCCAACATGATCCAGCAGTGGATGTTTGTCTGCTTTAATGAAAAACAGATTCTTCAGCAGAAGAGCTCAGGATTTAACCCTGATGTTCTCCTGACTGCTCTGCGCACCTCAGAGGTATAACTGCAGGGTGAGAAGCGAGGGCAGGTTTGGTTATCAGTGAGGAGGTGATGAGACTCACGCAATTCACCTCTTTCACGCGCCGTCAGTCCACACGTTAATGTTCTCACGCCGTGAAATACAAACGTTTGACAGAGCGAATCCACTCCGCCCAGCTGACGCCACGCAGCAACGTTACTACAGCGGGTCAGGAACGTAACGCACAGCAGAGTGAAGAGCAGGCAGACTTTAGTCTCTTAATGTTCTTCTTTTCTCTGGACCTGGCAGAGAACCCAGGTCTGTGGGAGAGATTCTGAACCTGAGCAGAAAAGCTGCTGAAACCCAGGAGCTGTTAAAGTCCAGGAGTTTCCGACTGAGTTAAAGTTAAATCATTTCTCGTTGAGGTGAAAAGGAGCCACGGTCGCATTTAAAGAGGTCACTTCCCCAAACAGAGACACGCAGAGGAGGGAAGACTGAACCAGGACCCAGGAGCTGATCTGCAGGAGAACCAGATTCTGCTGCAGTTCGGTTTTAGAGTTTGAATCCTCACCTGAATTTTGTGTTTCTCTTTCCATAAATAAAAACAGTTTCACCATAAACTGGTGCAGGAATCAAAGTGTTTAATGCTCAAAGTTTTTATACAAATCAGCCTAAAGATTTCGTGACAGTAGTGTTAAAATCTGGTCTGGTGGGTTTGGGGGTCTCGTCACTGGTTATTTGCACAGAAAAGTCTAAATATTAATAAAGTTATTAATAAAGATGAATATATTCGGTGACCACCCTGGAATCAGGGAGCAGTAACCAAATACCCACAAGCCACTGCTCTTTAAATGTACAGTAGGAGTGATTTACTCTGGGGTCAATGTAGGGGCCCCGGTCTGGGTTTAGGTGAGGTGTGGCGTCCTGAATCATGTGACCCCCCCTCCTGACTTTCAGCTCATCACTTTGCCATCCTCTGGGCGTCTGTGGGGAACACCGTCCCCGCCACCTTCTGGGCCATGTACTACCTGGTGAGTCACCCTGAGGCCCTGCAGGTCGTCCGCCAGGAGATCCACGACGTCCTGAGACTCAGCGGCGTCGAGTTCAGCAGAGACAGAGACGTGACCCTCAGCAGGGAGCAGCTGGACAAGCTTCTTTATCTGGGTACGTAGGATTTAGTAAAACGTGTTCAGTTGTTTGGAGTTTCAGGAGTTTGATGAATCAGGACGCTGACCTTCGTCCACAGAGAGCGCCATCAACGAGAGCCTCCGTCTGTCCTCGGCCTCCATGAACATCCGTGTCGCTCAGGAGGACTTCAGTCTGCGGCTGGACGGCGAGCGCTCAGTGGCCGTCAGGAAAGGAGACATCATCGCCCTCTACCCTCAGAGTATGCACATGGACCCCGAGATCTACGAGGAGCCTCAGGTACGACTGGCTGCTCCATTAACGTCCTCATTAAACGTTAGCAACTCACTTTTTCAACATTTCTCCATCCACAAGTTAAACGCAGCCTAACGGACGCGTTGTGTGTCTGATAGACAAAATGTTCTAATTCACCTCAAATGAACATGAAACGACAGAAACTATCACCGGGGACGGAAATGAACGACAGCCACCAGCTAAATGTCTGAAGGCCACGCGCCACATTGGCTGGTAAAAATAGTCGTCATATAATTAGCAGCAGATCGGCTGTGGCTTTTCACAAACTGATCGTTCCGTCTTTCTGTCTGTCTGTCACCAACTTTATAAAAAATAAAATCTGCTCCATGCCTTTCAGAAAGCGCAGCGGGCCGGCAGATTGGTGCAGGGCCCCCGTGAAACAAGGCAGCGTGAAAGCTGCGAGTGTTCGGAGCCGATTACAGAAGGTGTTTTCAGCTGGTCCAGTCAGAGTCTGACCCAGGTCCAGGTCCAGGGTCCAGGCTGTATAAAACATGTTGATCCCACAAAACCTGTGATGCTGTGGACCAGGACTCTGTCAGGTCCAGGACTCTGTCAGGTCCAGGAGGCCAGGAGAGGGGGACTGTAGAAAGTGATAAAGCCTTACAAGAGTGAGCAGTGATAAGATTTCAGTTGAATGATGATTAATAAGCTTTTTGTAAGTTTATAAAACAATGTCTTATGTTTAAGAACATTTAATAGCAATAATATAATTTTTGTTTCAAATTTCACTCTGGCCTCTTTTTAAGTTTGTATTTGACATATTATCTCAATTAAAAGGAAACAAATGTCTTTGTGACACAAAAGGCAATTTATTATTTTGGCTGGTGGATTTTTTTTAGCCAAAAAGTTCATTTCCACCTCTGACGTAACGAGCAACAAAGGAATTCAAGAAAAAACATTAAAATCTTTACACACTTTAACTCTTCTTCAGACCAGACAGTGCTTCAACATAAGGTTTTCTTTTTACACCGAATGTATTTGTGAATCCAACATTTTCCATAGAAGATAGAGAGGTTCAAAATAAATAGCCTGGTCACATTTTACAATCAAGCTTATCATAAAATGTCTCTCTTTCATAAATTACTGCCGAACCAGTCGACCTCTAGAAAAAATAATATGAATCTAACCGAAAATGAAATAGAATAAATCCTGAATTGTAACCCTGACCCTGGGTCGTCATGTGTAGGCGTAGCGTGGATGTGTGTGGTGGCAGAAGAGACGGAGCTCCAGCTTCACTGGTGTTGTGCCGAGTTCGCACCTCACGAGACTTTCAGATAATTTATCACCGTTGATGAACCACTCAAAGAATATTTTATCGTTTTAAATAGCCGCTACTTGAAATAGACCTGCGGGGAACTGCGACGTGCACGCAGCTGTCGGCAGCAGTAATGCACGTAAAAATCTGCTCAAGACCAGCGAGTGACGAGAGAGAGAGAGAGAGAGAGAGAGAGTCAACAGTAAGCCTCAGGTTAGCTGAAAGTTTCAGTGTAAGTTGAATGAATAGAGGCTGCAGCTCTGCAGCTTCTCAAGATTAAAGCCGACTACAGGCAGGACTTGACGATTCTGATTCCACAATGTGAATCCTTAGTCGGGGACAGCCCTAGCACACATACAGTCATACAAGATATGACAAGTGGTTTCAGTTTGAAAACACCTTTCCTCAACGTCGAACCTGAATCTTAATAATATTTTGTTATATGAACATGTGACGGCAGCGAGTGACCCTGTAGAGGGACGTTCATCCGAAAGTTGGCCCCTGTATTTACCCCCTACCTGATCTAGCGACTCAGTGACGGAGCGGAAGCGTCAAGGGTCTAGTTTCAGAAAGGCCCGTTGTTCACCTGCTGCCTAATACATCCCACGGACAGCTGCCAGGGTTATTCACGTCCCCTGTCAGTGGTCATAATGTTACGGTTCTGTTTAACAAACCTTCCTTGTTTCTGTACGTCAGACGTTCCGGCTCGACCGCTACATCCAGGACGGCAGAGAGAAGACGGACTTCTACAAGAACGGCCAAAAGCTGAAGTACTACCGCATGCCGTTCGGCTCCGGCTCCTCCATGTGTCCCGGACGACACTTCGCCATCAACGAGATCAAGCAGTTCCTGTGTCTCCTGCTGCTCTACTTCGACCTGCAGCTGGAGGAAGGTCAGCCCAGAGCCACCCTGGACCCCAGCAGAGCCGGAATGGGCATCCTGCTGCCCAGCAGGGACGTACGCTTCCGCTACAGACTGCAAACAGTCCAACCAGGGAAGTGATGCAAGTGTGTTATTGGCTGGACACGCTGCGGACGATCGCTCTGTAACATATGCATTACGTACATAATGTATATTTGTAGAACACCGGTGTTTAAAGTGAAAGGTCGCTGGCCGGATCAAACCGGGAATGTCTAGGAAGTCTAGTCTGTTGTGGACAAGATCAGAGTTGTAGTTTCCAGGATTCCTCTTTTATATGTCACGTCACGCATTCCAACTTAAAGCAAGACTAAAGTTCTGCCGGTCACAAAGTCCTATTATTTGTGGGAGAAAGTTCCCTGTTTGCTACACAGTGCACCTTATTTACTGTCTGCCTTTGTATTATGGGGTCTGAATTCTAGTTCGTACGTTTCATTTAATCTACTGTCGATCCAACAAATCTTTCATCACCTTATTCAGTAACCATGGCTGCCGTACTCCAGCGTTACTTTAGCTCAGGGGCCCCTTCGGCCTTGTAACCTGCAAACTCACTAAACTCTCATTTACTCAAACCAGAGCATAGGTTGTGTTTCTCCATCAGCTAGTCCAGACTGCAGCTGTTCGAACCCATCTTTCGAATGAGGACCAGAGCCGTCGTGGTTCATCCTCAGGCAGAGAGACGGACACACGGCGTTTGCTGCAAAGTTGTTTTTGTTAATTAAACAGTGATTCGGATCTATAGAGTGAGATTCAAATGTTAAGGATCTATTGACAGAAACAATATAATATCCATAAGTATGTTTTCAGTGGTGTATAAAGACCTTACATAATGAACTGTTATGTTTTTATTACCTTAAAATGAGCCATTTCTATCTACATGCACCGCAGCTCCTCTAACATGGACGTCACCATGTTTCTACAGTAGCCCAAACAGACAAACTGCTCTACAGAGCTCGTTTCGTCACCACGTTTAATACGTACAAAGAGTGTATGTATGTAGTGTTGTTTATCTGCTCTGATAATGTTAATCCAACACATCTTTGTAGCAGCGTCCATATTGATTCCACATTTCAACTAAAGAGCACATGCACACACTGAAGTCAGAAGAACGACTTTGCAACTCGGGAAATGGGAGGAGCACTTGAATGCACTGTGAGCCGCTGGTTGCAATACACAACCCTCACCACTAGATGGCACTAAAACTTTGAGAGGGGTTTATATACTCACATTGCCCCAGTCCAGCAGAGGGCAGCACCCCACTTCCAACACCTATGCAGATGATGTTGTACTGTGACACTTTGAACCACTTCCCTGCATCATGAATAATAAACACTTTCTGACTGTAATGTGAAGATGTTTAAAAGGAACTGTGATATACAGATATTAATAACTAATTAAAATCCTTTTCATTACTAAATCTAAAAAAAATAGCCACGTAGGTAAACCTGGGAGCATCAGACCCACGTTATACACTGTCCAATACTTTATGAATTATGTCAGTTCGTTATCGGACAAGACTTCACACATCTGTATAGAACGATCTTCAGGTTTTACACAGAACTGACCCTGTTGGAATGATTTACAAAACAAATTATTGATGTGAAACACTTTTTACACATATTTTACACGTCACATATGACAAAAAAAAAAGAAATATATATATATGTGGTTTATCACATTTGAAACAGCAATGAATTCACATATAGAGGTAGTTACTGTCTAGTGGCATGTGTGGTTTTCACGTGCTTTACTGTTTAGATTCAGGGTGAATCTTCTGTGATTTATGTAATTTAGGAAGTGAAACCCTTTTTTTCCACGGTGCTGGTTATTTTTGTTAAATATGCAAAGTTAAATCAAACAGAATACAGGTATCTGCAGAGTGTTCAGTTGGTAATTCTGCCTTTCATTTTGTAATTGTAGAACTCTATAGCACCTTAATTCAAGCTGTAATAAACTGATGTAAAAAAAACAAGTTGTTTTATAGATTCAGTGTTACCTCACATCTCACAATATAAAGAATCACAGCTCGGGGTTCAAACTGCTTAAAATGTAAACAGTTTCTCAAATCACTCAAAGTGGGGAAAAAAAACGGGTTGATGATTTCAAGTCGGGCTTTTATATTGGTGTTATTGCAGTATGTGTTCCCGCCATGAGAGGCAGCAGACTTGCCGCTCTTGTATTGACGTTGATGAAAAACACCTGCACTGCATCGGAACCCGTTATTGTGACTTTACACCCGCCTGGGTGGTGTTGGTGTAATTGGAAAATGAGTTCCTGACTGTGAAAATTCACACGAATGTCCCCTGAAATCGAAACAACAACTCAAAGTCTGAGAAAATTTTACTACATGAGTTGCTGAGTTGTTGACGTCATACAGAAACCTGGTTGAAGGTTAGAAACATTTCATTATTGTGCAAAGTCACGGATTGCATAAAGACCTACATTTTTGTGTGGTTTATAATATGGTATTAGGTCAGTTTGCTGTCCATGTAGAACGACCTAGATTCATTGGGAAAAGGTATTTATTAGCAGTATGTCCAGTACAAGCAATTGTTTGTAATAAGAAGCTTCAAACTGTTTCAGCAGACTTGGATGACAAAGACAATCCAACACATCTTTGTAGCAGCGTCCATGTTGTTTCTACATTCCGACCCAAAAGCACATGAACACACCGAAGAGGAAGAACGACTCCACAACTCTGGAAACGGGGCCATTCAAGGCGCACGTGAACGCAGCATTTCTCCTCCTGAGACCCCGGCAAGTTCACCTGTCCTCAGGTGAGCTTGTATTTCTTCTGTTAGCAAACTTCATAAGCAGTGGACTCCTGAAATGTCCCGGGTCACAGCCGTAGTTTTAGTTTTTTGGAGAGCAGATATATATTATTTTGTTTGCACTCTGATTTTTTTAATGTTTTGTTTGCTGTTTTCCCTCCAAAACAAATGTACAGTGTGTAATTAGGATGCAGTCAGCTCACATTAGACTTAGACTGTTTGTTCTTTTCTGGCCCACAGCGTCTTCAGGACGAATCCCAGTGTTTCATTACTGCGAATGTGGGGCCACCTGCTGGGCGACCCTCGGTACTGGGTTTGGAGGAAATGCAACAGTGAGTGGAAACATAAGGAGACACACGGATGTTATCTTTAATATTTTGTCCCAGACTGCAGTGGCGTAAATGTTCTGCATTACAGTGCAGCGGATATTTTCACACAAAACTGAATCATTCTTTAAAGATGCAAACTGTCTGTTTACTGTCTCTCTCCTCCACATGTACAGCCCGCTGCTTTAGTGCACAGCACAAAGAGGTTTCAGTTAGGAATTAAAGAAGCGTTCTCAAGCTCAATCAGGAGGCGTTTGAACATTTGCACCGTAGCAGTGGTGCATTTATCAAATAGGCCTACATACTTCTAATGCTTGGCCAAATGTTCATCACACAACATCACTGAAGACTAACAACTGAGTATTATTCAGGTAGCCTGGCCTAGTTCAGTTCAGAGAGGAGGAGGAGACATTTCTCTCCCCAACAACAGAGTCAGGCGAAGTTTGGCGCTACCAGCTAGCCTCTCTGTACGGATCTAGTTTTCCTCATTGAACATCCAAAACCCATTTTTCCTCTCCAGCTCCAGTTTTGCTGTTGGTCTTCTGTCAGATTTAATCTTAAGTTGCTGCTGTAGTGCTAGTTTAGTAAAACTATTTATTATAACTAAAACCTCCATAACTGCACAGCTAAAGCTGCTAACAGCTCCCGTTATTTCATCTGAATGACGTTGATCAAATGCTGTGATTTGATTGGCGTGAAGCCAGACAGCGGCTGGCTTCCCTTGGCATCATCCTGACTAATCACAGTTAGGCAGTGGCGTGACAGCGGCCTCATCTGATTGGTTAATCATTTCCTCCCCACGGAGTCAGACAGCAGGCCGGTCTACAGTGGTGCAGTATAGTGTTTCACCACACATCCAACGATACTCGGGGAGAAATGAGGAAGAGACGACAGCAAGAGCTCGTAAGATTTATCGAAACTGATAAAATGATAAATAGATCTGATAAAAACAGGCTTCGCTTTGCCTCTGGGAGAAAACGCCACTGCAAGACTGTCAGGTGGTGAAGTAATAACGCTAAAATACAGAGATGAGTGAAAGGAATAGTTTACTAACCCTGCAGAGAGACCGCGGTGCGTCACACCGCCGCTGAGAGTCGCCATGTTCGCGTTCCGGGTCACAACTGTTCGCTCGATGGTCGATGGTCTAAGTGTTGTTCTTGTTCCATCTACTGCACGCAAAAATAAATCACTAACACGGGAACTGGGCTTGGACGCTGCTCTTCCTGTTAAAGCGATACGGAGACGCTGTGTTGAGCGGAGGTAACGTAGACGGTGACCCCCTCACGTTACCTGCAGCCTTTGTCCCCTATAGAGCACTTTAACCAGCCAAGGTGGACACAAAGCGCTGTCCAGACAAACGAATCAAAGACATGGATACTTCGAAACACGAGCCATGAAAACAATAAATACTATAAATCAGTCAAACATGTCGAAAAGGAATTTGAAGTGGATCCTATGATGTGTGGCAGCGGAGGGAGGCCAAAATGGGGGAAATGCGCTCGTGTCTTTGTGTTCCAGCTAAAAGACGCCATCTGGACACGAGCAGCCGCCGACCCCCACATCCAGCGCATTTGGTAATCCAGCGTGGTCGCAGATTACCGTCTCAGAAGAACTGGTCCGTCCGTCGAGCTGAAGGTCAGAGGACAGCCGGCGTCTTCACTGTGTGTGTTTGACATGTCTCTGCTCTGTGAATGCAACCTGTGTTACAGCCCAGGGAACACGTGTGTGTAACGAGCTGTCAGCGGGCGCCATGACGCCTCATTATCCTGTCAACACACGTTGCACGCTAACTCAGCGCCTGAGTGTGTGTGTGTGTGTGTTTGTGGCCTGCTGCCAAGCTCACGGCGCCACTTTGTGAGAATGATGATCTCACCGTGTGTGTGTGGAAACAGAAATGTAAACAGGAAATTGTGGTTTTAGCAGCAGTTAGCGTCGCCAGGATGGACTAGCCGACTAGCTGCTTAGCTAACAAGAATGATGTAAATGAGACGGACTGCTCGGCTTTGTGCTAAGCTAAGCTAAACAGATGCTGGACCTTGTCTCTGCAGAGCCCAGAGAAGAAGCTGAGATCCATCTGGACTGAAGAACAACAAACTCTGACAGCGAGTAGAAAGCTTTTATTATCAGAATTATTCACAACCAGAGAATAAATATTAATATTAAAGTCAAACAGGCAGTCATGTGTCAGGTGTTTGTAGAAGGACACGTCTTCTGGTCAGCTGATGGTTTATATTTGCAGGTTCAGCGTTTAGTGTTTGTTCGGCCTTTCACGGCCCTCGTAGAAAAAAAAAACACAGTACCGGCAACTCTTTAGCATCGAAGCTGCTTGAATCAAAGCTTTCAGGAACACGGGCTGCGGTGAAGTGGCGAGGAAACCCTCCACGTACAAAAGCAGTTTGTTTTAATTCAGCTCTCAGGAGACATTTTGACTTCTGACGCGTCGCAGAGGGGATTTTAAAGAACATGTAGAAGCTCGGACAAACAAACATGCTGTACTTCCTGTCTGAGAGCCTGATTGCCCCCCCCCCCCGATCCAGGTGTGCTGGTACCAGGTTGGAGTCCCGGCCATCAGGTGATGGAGGATTCGGAGGACGGCGTTTGTGTTGTGGTTCAGACTCCCAGCAGGATCCCGGAGAACATCGAGTCCTGCAGGACGCTGATGGCCGAGCCGGTGGCGTTGTCCACAAACACCGACACGTACTCTCCAGCCTGCACACAGAGAATCAGCCGGGAGGTTATTTCAAGGGCAGAGAGCTGCAGAGGGAACTCATAGTGAGACGGTGACATTACTAATGTTGCAGCGAGCTGTTGCAGGAAGACGCAGACGGGAAACGAAGGGGAGGAGTTTGTTGTGTTTGTTACTTCGACACAACAAACTCTTCTCTCCAGCTCTGACTCGTTTCCACCGGCGTCTTCCTGCAACAGCTCCGTCAATGACTTCAGTTTCCTGTTAAAAACAAAGGGGTTACAGCCGTAGGGGCCCTTTCCATGATGGTGACCTCAAAATAAAAGGGGCCCCAGGTTTAAAAATACCGAAATGACCTTTTAAATTACACAGATGCCTCCTGGGTTTATGTGGACTTGGTTGGTTTGTTGGTGGATGTGTTTTAAAGGGGCCGCAGCTTCCTGTCCTGTGGCGTGAGCGGCGTGACGTACCTGCAGAAAGAGCGTTCCTGTCAGCAGGATGCTGAATGTTCCTCCAGCGGCCGCCACGCCCATCACAGACTCTACAGAGCTGACACACACACACACACACACACACACACACGGTTACTGCAGGCTTATCGTCAGTGGAGCCTACAGCTAACCAGGACTAACAGCCCGTCCACATACTTTTGGCCATCTAGTGTAAAGGCCAGTTTATCCTCCTGCGTGGGGAAGTAATGTTACGCCGTCACACGCTAGCTGGCGGCGGGGTTTCTGTGTTCCACTGTGTTGAGCTTCTTCTCCTCTTCTTCGTTGGTGTGGGCTGCTACAGAATGGCAGCTGGGAGCGGATCATGTTGAACAGCAGTTACTTAAAATGAAAAGTGAAATTACTAAAACGAGGGACGGCGCCGGGGGAGATGAACGACTGATAAAAAGAAACTGAAATCATTTATTGAGAATCGGCAGGATAAAGGTTCTTTCAGGTTTAAAGGCTGGTTCAAGTTCACTGGTTTGAAACTTTTCTGTCTGCTCAGAACAAAACACTTGATGCCAAGGAGGAAATGTGACGCTAACAAGCCGACCAATCACAGCGGTCTGCGTCGCTGCGAAGTGGAGTTAGATTTTGGGGAGTTCAGCGCTGGATATACTTGCTTTAACTACGCATTCACGCACGCAAGATGGCTGCCACGCGTATGCTGCGTTCCTCTGGAGCGTAGGTTGTGCACGACCCCAGAAATGAACGCTGCGAGATGTAATTCAGCTCATGAACGTGGGGCAGAATGTCGACCTGGCAGGTCAGCTGCGATCTCCTGCACACACACCAGCCAGGTGGTGGCGCCGTTCAGCTGGTTTGCCAACCGCCGTTAAACACAAAGAAGAAGGTCAGACTTTAAAAAAGGAGGTTTATGGCGAGATGTTTACGGTAAAACTCCCGGAGCTGGTCCGCAGTTACCGAGATCGTTAGGATGTCTCATTAAATCACAAGCTGCTCGAGTGTCGCCGTGTTTGGTTTGTTTACCATGTGCAAATTTGGAGGTTGTCAAGGACGATAATCCGGTGGCGGCGAGGGATGATCCGGTCCTGGTCTGCCCCCTAGTGGACGTTTAATCCTCCAGGTACAGGCAAAGTACGCAGGCCAGTATGTGAACGCCTGCCGACGCCGGCGCCTTGTTAAAAAGCGAGTATGTCGGGGTCTTTACGCGTCAGGCTGCGGCAGATCTGGTGCAGAAGGATAAACTGGCCTTAAGTCTGTTACTTGATCAGAATCAGAAAAACCAAAGTGTCCCTCAGTCCTCGCTGCTGAAATGCAGAAGAAGACAGACGTGTCCTCAGTTAGCAGAGAGAGAGAGAGGTAGAGAGAGGTAGAGAGAGGTAGAGCACTCACAGGTTGCTCTGGCAGAGCGACTCGATGCAGATGGCCGCTCTCACGCTGTCTCTGATCCGGACCTGGACTCTGTCTCCGGACTCTGACAAACATCACAGTTGTTAGAGGAGAAGCTGAAACTTCAGATGTTAAATCAGTCAGTAGTTTGAGGAATATCAAAGTTTTATTACTATTTCTATTAAAGTAAGATTCTTAGGAGCGGAAAGAGTCCGAGCGTTACTGAACCCGTGATCAGCCATACTGTGTGTCTGGGAGCTGATTGGTCGGTGCGGCTCTCACCTATCAGGAGGCTGGCGGTGAGCTGGTAGAAGCCGGAGACGGCCGGCGTGTATCGGCCGGTGCTGGTGTTGAAGCTCTGACCCCTCTGGAGGCTCCGCTCTGAGTCCGAGGGCTGCAGGGGGTCAAAGGTCAGACACGAGGACAGCAGATATTTGACCTGAAATGTCACCTGCGTGCGTGCGTCTCACCTGGCCGAAGGGCTGCAGCTCCAGCAGGCTGCGGCGAGGGACGCTGACGGGCTGCAGGAGGCGACTGAGGAAGGAGGTGGAGACACGAGGAGGACGATCACACAGCAGACACACTCCTGCTGCCATGTCTGAGGGGGGGAGGAGGAGAAAGAAGGTGCGTCAGCTGTTTGGATAAAGTGTTTTCATAAATGATGTCATGAGGAAAAAAACGGTGTGTGTGTTGGCGCTCAGCACCGAGTGTTGGCGCCTTCCTGCTCAGAAACAGACACACTGCGGTCAGACGTCTGACTTCAGCTACACAAACCTCCACAGTAGGACTTTTTTGCCATGAATTCTGGGTAAATGAGGTCTTTTTAAAGACGGATCTGAGGGGTTTGAGACGACCTGTTAGCTAAAGAGACACGTGGGCGGACGGCCGTCACAGTTTACCGCAGGTCAGGCGGGTCGGCTCTGAGCGGTAGTATGTGCACGTCTGCAAACCAGCCAATCACATGTCAGACAGTTTTTACCACATATAACCTGCTAACTCAGACATGGGCAGTGTGCTAGAGTAACTAGTTACATGTAATTTAGTTACTAAATAAATGTCGCTGGGAGACTTGTGGAATTAAATTACAGTTAGTCATGAAACTGTTCATGATTACATCTGAATATTTTCACATCAGCTATATGTTATATATAAATATTCATTTTGTTGCTTTGCATGTTTTTCATGTGCAGCGTTTAGTAAAGTTTGATGCCGTTCTGAGGCTTCTGATTGGTTCTCCGGTTTGAATTTGCAGCGCCGCCAGTCTGCCAGTTAAACTGCCTCTCCAGCTGAAAACATTTATTAGAGAAGTGATCAAAAAGTCATTACATGTAATGAGTTACTTTACTCTACTAAAGTAATTGAAATTATACCACTATTACATTTTAAATAGGGTAACGTGTAATCAGTAACTGTTGCATTTAGAAAGAAGCCTTCAGTGGCGCTTTAAAAACCTGAGCATGAGCGTGATGCAGGCGGATGATACGAGGTCATGTTTCCGTTTCCATGGTCCATCTGACGGCCTCAGAACTGATGTCAAACAGGATGAAGGACGAGGACTCGCATCGACACTCTGCTGGTGTGGCGGCGCTGACCGTGAACGACTCATCGCTCTGCTGCCGCTTTGAAAAGATCCAAATAAAAAGAAAGCTCAGGGGAAAAACTCCACGACGGTCTGCCCCCCCCCCCGGGAGTTTCTCTTTGCTCCACGTGATGAATGAGCAGACCAGTGTGTGCGACTGTAACCAGGTGACGTGGCTTCGAACATCTGTCTGGACCTGCAGACGTCAGCCTCATGAGCCGAGACCGATCAGAACAAACTGTCTCAGAGAGGCTGGTCAATATCTAATGTTCAATTCCCTTCCTCTCGATGGAGACTCGACTTTGTTTCATCGAATCTGTTGTAACTTTCTCGTTGGTCAGTTGGTACAGGTCACAAAGCATCACCAAGCAGGCGCAAGTTTGGACAACCTCCCGCACTTCGGGCCGCAGATACAGGAACAGATTTAGGAATTTGTCCCAGCTGCCGTTCCATTCTGTTGGTTTATTGTTTTACTTTAACTGTGGTCTTTTTAACGTTTGTGTTCCTTTTGCCTCTTTTGCTTGTTTGTGAGTCGTGACTGTTGATAGTTTTGTGTTGACTGCTGTCTGTACAACAAATTGCCCCTGGGGGACAACACAGATATCCTTGATCTTTGACTGGGTTGGGCGTGTCCAGCTTCTCCTCCGGGCTGGGATTCAGACCTTTGACGCCATTTTCCCCAACGAGTTTTTCTCATTGGTTAAAGTTGTGACATGTTGATTGATAACTGCAAAGCGAACACTGTGACGGCGGATCAGACTGTGGAACCAGCTCATCCTCAGCAGATCATCAATATCAGAACAGTGAGACTTGGTCTGACCGAAACATCTGTGTTGGTGGAAACGGTTTTGTTTCTCTTTGCAGGCTTCAGTCGTGCAAAATATGAACAAACACATAGAAGCAACCTGAAGCAGGAAAACAAGCATGAAGGAACAGATTCACACACACACACTCAGAGTAACAAAGACACACCATCAGTCAGCAGGAATGTCAGGAATCCTGCTGCTGAGCCAAGTCACATCCACACTCCACAAAATTACCCCTATTAAGGACTCAGACAGCCTGCCTCCACACAGCCTGTATTTATATAACCTACATGCAGAAAACACTGAGTGAAAGTGAAAAAGTGAAGCTGGACAGCTGATGATGAAAGTGAGCAGTCGGCTGTCTGGATCCAGTTCTCAGTAACTAACAGCAGCTGTCGGCACGGTGACGTTTCATCATGTTTTCACTCTTTACTGGAAACGGGACATCTGGAATCTGTAAACTGTCTCCTGATCACGTTTCCCCCCAGAAGCAACGAGGGGTCAAGTGTCTTGCTCGGGGACACAATGGTTTCTCAGTGGATTTGACCTCGGGTCTCTCAAGTCAAAGGCATGTGTCATATCCACTGCACCATCACCACCCCGGCAGATATGTGACCTGTAATCTCACAGCTCTCTCACTGTATTGATGCTTGTATGTTGTTCCTCAAGTTTGAATAAAAGCGTCTGCTAAATGAGTATATTAGTAAATGTAGGACCTTTAGCCTAGCTTAGCACAAAGTGTGGAAGCGGGGGGAAGCTGTTAGGCTAGCTCTGTCAGGAGAGCAACACGTCCTTAATGACACAAATGACAAATTGGTCGATTGTCAATAGTCCCAAAACAACATATATGACGGTTAGAAAGTACGAGTCCAGCGGCAGGCGTCCTGGACCTTAAGGACGTTACGTAATTCACATGACATTAAACGTGTGGCTAATGTTGTGAAATGGTCGTAGTTCGGTTAGGTTTAGGAAAAGGTCGTTAAAATAATAACGTCAGTCACTTACGTAACGTTCTTTTACTTAAATCTTTAAGTTTGACTTTGTTTCACACGGGACTCGAACGCCGGCCGCCTTAGTGAACGTCCTTACTTTGTTTGACCAGTCCACATTCTTAAACGGGTGGTGATGGTACAGTGGATAAAACGCATGCCTTTGACTTGAGAGACCCGGGTTTGAATCCCACAGTGATCCATCCACCAATGTGTCCCTGAGCGAGACGCTTACATACCTCTGACTTATATATAGAGAGCCAGGTCTCTCCCAGCATAGGCATGTGTCTTATCCACTGCGCCATCACACCCCATAATAATGTGAACGGACTTTGTCGCTCTTTATGCTACATCACCTGACCTCCATCATATGGGGCCCGTAGAGGTGGCGGCCTGGCGCTGTAGGTACACAGCCGACCGTGCTGTGGGGCCGGGAAGAGTCTGGTGGACGTGTTTGATCGGGCTGAAGTCGTCGTGTGTTCGGGGAGTTCTCACCTCTCACTTTTAGCTGCAGCTCCTGGATGAGCTCCTGTTGTTGTGGCAGTAGGGGGGCGGGGGGCCCTGGAGGCCCCTGAGGTCCTGGAGGGCCTGGAGGGCCTGGAAGACCATGCTGCAAAGAGACAGAAACATTTCAAGATGTCAGATACTTGGTCCAAAGGTTTCACATCCAAGAAACCAAACGGGCTAAAAAGCCAAACCCTGTCGGCCCTGTTTGTGCTGGGTCACCTGTAGGGTCGCTGTGGAGGTGCAGCGTGTGACGGGTGTTTCTGTAATTTAGCCTACAGTCAGTCAGTGGTGGACAAAATAATAGAAACACACAATCCAACTCCCTCCTGCACAGTGACCCCACAAACTGAACCCTAAACCCTCGAGGGGTACCTAATAAACTGGTGGCTGGGTGGATAATGAGCTCCTGCTTTGGTTTGCATGGAACAAACATTTACAGGTTTTATTAGCTCAAATAGACAGCGAGTTGCTTTTCATCAGCGGCTCAACAAATGTCATCAGACTCAAACTGAGAGCCGCGGACTTCCTGTCCGTGGCTCTCAGCTCAGAGCCCACTGGTTCCTGAATCTTTAAGAACTCCTCACAGATTCATAGTTTCATTTAAAAAAGGCTCAGTCATTTCCTGAAACAGCTGCTCACAAGAAGAATAGTATAAAAACCTGCACTTTGTCTCACACAGTCACAGGAAGATAAGATGTTCCTGTGAGTCTGTGCTCGTGACATTACCTTGGAGGTTCTCCTGGACCCTTTGGTTCTGCGGTTGTCCCCCTTGTTGGAGTTTCTTCTGAAGATCGACCAGGATTTGAAAGGAGTCACTCTGGACAGATCGGAGGACAGCGGCTCCTGGAGGACACACAGGACACGTTGAACACGTTACGTCCAGGGCTGCAACTAAATGTGGATCAGTGTTTCCCAAGAGGACGTCCTCAAAGGTTTACTTTTGTCCACAACCCAGAGATATTGAATTTTCTGTCACAGAGGAGCAAAGAAGCCAGAAAATATTCTGCTTCAGAGAATCTGGAGATTGTTTCTTACAAAATGACTCAAAGCGATTCGTGGATTATCTAAATAGTTGGCGATTCATTTAATAGCTGTCGCCACCTCTGCGTGCTCCTGCAGTCCGAACACCTTCTGATGACGTGTTCAACAGTTGTAACCAGCAGCTAACCATGGCACCCAGGCTTCAGGTAACACGCTCGAAGACGTATCTGATCTCCAGGATTCACTTTCTCCTCTCTGAATGTTTGTGTTTATTCAGAAGCTTCTGAAAAATATCATTAATAAACGCCGGACGATGATGCTGATGAATGTTTCTGTCTGTGCTGCTGAGTTTATTCGTGACGCTGAGTGAGTGACAGAAACTTATTTTATTCACACACAGAAACGACAACATCAGCAGCTGCTACGTTGGGCTGTAAGCTGGCGAGTAATCGATGAACCGTTCGGCCTAGAAAGTCATGGAAAAAGAAAGACAGAGAAGACACGAAACTGCTCGTGTGGTTCTCGGCTGCAGACTGACTGCCGACAGGTGCAGCATTAAAGCCCTTTGAAGCTAACAAGGAGAAATGGTCAGTAAATCTGCTGCTCCCCATGTTGCCTGTTTTAATGTTAATTTCTACAAATAATTCCAAAAGCTGTAAATGAAGACACGAAAGGCAAACATGAGAAATTCTCTAATTCTCTCCCTTGAGCGTTTGAGGGTACGAGCTCAGCTTCGCTTTACCTGCATGTGTCAGACGTTCTCATCAATATTTGAACATTTACATTTTCAGCCTCGTCTGTTTCCCGACACACGAGTCCACATCAGTTAGAGTAGATCAAGAAC